GGAAAGGACTTGTCCCCACATTACCCCTTAGTGACAAAGGCCAAGCTTCTCTGACATTCCTTTTTGTGTCTTTTGAGCTGAGTAGCCTCTGTCATGGAAGGATTGGAGATTTTGCTATGCCTGTTAATAGTGAACATAATTTTGGGGCTGCCTACTTGCACCCACACACAGACTCATTCACCGTGTGTGTGGGTCCACGTGTCCATGAAAATGCTAGTTAGTTGTGCTGGCCTGAGAAACGGCGTGTTTCCCCTGTTTATTTTGTGTGGCATTGCCTGTGATGGCATCCGGGCCCAGCTGCAGATCTTAGCAACAGTGTGGCACAGCATCCGCAGAGAGCACTCCAAGCGGGGTCCCGCCTGCGGAGGCTGGGGTGGCTTTCGTCTGCAGTCCAGGGCCCGACGGGCTGCTGTCTGGCATTACCTCCTCCCCAACGGCAGCCCTCAGGTCCTTTGCTCAGTGGGCCCACATTCGAAGCCTCAGGGTCTGCCCTGAAGCTCTTCTCGGAGATCCCAGCACCTGGAGGAGCTTGCAAAGCATTAGCCCTGCACTTCCCCAGGTTTTCAGCAGGCAAATTGCAGTGCAGGTCAGCATCCCATTCTAGGCACAGGCTTGTCCTAATGCCTGGTTTCACCCCAGATTCTGGAAATAGTTTTAAAACTTGTATTTAAAAAAAACTGCAAACTTGCTCCACAGAGTTCTCAAGTTCCCTGGAATGTGTGAGGGAAAGGATTTACAGCTGCTCTGCATGCAGATGGCCCCTTGGCTTGCTTCTGCCTCTAGATGACATGATGGGACTTGCGGGGGCTGGAGCGGGGGGAGTCTCTGCCTGCATCCCTAACTAGCTGAGCTGCTTGTCAGCAATTCTGTTGAATCTGTCCTGAAGGGGACAAAGCACTCCCCCTGCACGGGGCAGCCATGAGGCTATGGCAGCCAGTTGGGGAAAGGGCTTGTGTTCCAGGAATTTTCCCATGGGCTTACTTACGTGGATTTTCATAAAGTCCCAGTAGTCACCACAGTGGCTTGACCTTTGTTCTCTCTCTTTGTTGGGGTGGTCTCCTAGAGGTGGTCTGGCTGTATACCAGGTTTCTGGGGGTTAACCGAGGTCATCAGGACAGCAAACCAAGACTGATGGAGAATAGGCTTGCTTGGCTTTTGGAACTTTTAATGTGTGGCATTTTAAGGATATGCCAATATATATCAGCGTGTACCAGTATATTAAGTATAATTTTAAGGGCATACCAATATATATGTCAACATATACTGATACCAAAACGTATCCCAGTGTATTTAAGCACATACCACAAGCACAGGGGGCATGGCCGGGTGGGAAGAACGCCAGGTGGGAAGCAGGAGAGCTTTCTCACACCTGAACTGTGTGTCCTGAGGCCAGTTGGTCAGGTCTGTCCTCTGTGAAATCATGGAGTTGCTTCATGTGATTTCAGAGGCCCGTCCTGGTTCTAACAGTCTGTGATCCTTCTGTCCTGATAGTAAAAACATAGATGAAGTCCCAATGGGACTAAGCGAGGTGAAACTCGTATCAATTTTTTATCATTAAAAATAAGGAATGCCCAGTACAAGTGAAGGGTGAAGTGCTTATGTACAAACGAGCTCCTTTTGCCTACTGGGCCTGCTGTCTCCGTACTTTGGGGAAAGGAAGTGCTCCCCTGTGACCGGGAGGGAAAGGCTGGAGCAGAGAAAAAGGCTGCCAGAGCCCCCCACCAGAGCCCGGGTCCTCTGCTCAGGTGAAGGGACTGGATCACGGTCCATTTCTGGGACCAAATGAGGTCACCCAATTCTAGCACAGTCACTGTGCTCTTCCTCCGCCTCCCCCTCACCACCTCCTCGGCTCTGGTTGATGTCATTCCAGAATAGGTTGTTTATTATGGGTCCGCAGCTCTCTCGGTGTCTAACCATTAAGACAGAAAAGTTGCTATCTCTACCGCAGGCGAAGTCAGACAGAAATGACTCGTCCTAGATAAAAAGATACAAACCATGGTTTGTTTGCAGACGAATCCATCCCCTGCCTACTTCACAGCCAAAACTGACTCAGGCATGTGGAAGACTGTTCACACTAGGTGTCTCTCTACAAGAATGGTCAGAGCAAAGGGACCCTGGGTTTGGGCCACACATGGAGTGTCCCTTTGCTTCCAGGGAGCTCCAGGAGAGCTTTCTTGAGGTGACAACTACCATGTCTGAGCCTCACCGATTGCCTAACACTGTGGACCCACATAGGATGACCCAGGACTGTGGGGAAAACCCACCATGTATTTTATCTCACTCAGTTCTGCCAATAGCCCCAGATGAGAAAATGGAGCATTGGAGAAGTTCAGCCACAGAGGTGGGGTTAAACTGGGATCTGGCCAACCCAAGAGTCCGCTTTTAGCTACCGAAGGATGGAGTCTGCCTGGGGGGCAGGGAAACTTCTCTCCATCAGTGCGGCCTTGACACCATGCCACACCATCAACCTCTCTTTAGTTTCTGTCTGGGGAGTTCGCCTTTGTTTCTTATCTTTCTCCCCACTTGGTTCTCATGTTCAGGGACTAACTAGTACATTTCATTCACCTAATAGCTGGCACGGAGCCAGAAATGCAAAATGCCCCCCACCACAGGCAGCGTATAATTTATCTGCTTTGATCAGATGGTTGGAAAAAAAGAAGCTTTAGGAATGACATGCAGCAACTGCACTGCTCTTATCCCGGGACAGGGCCCCAGAGGGTAAGAAGCCATAATGACTTAGCCTGTTCAGAAGAAGTTTGCTCTTTTGGAAAGAATAATTACAGATCTAAGATGATTAGTAGTAGAACCGTGAAACATTAAACGGTGAGAGGCGGAAGTGGCCCTCGAGAGTGTGGAGGGGCACCACCACTCTCCGCATGGAGCATTGTAGCCTGCAGAGAGGTGAGACTGTGCCCAGCTCAGTCAAACGTTAACTGGGGCCCCCCACTGACCCCCACTCCTGCCCCGGGTCACGTGCTCTCAACTGCTGACCCCTTAGTAGTGACAGTAACTACCAAGAAAAGCGTTCCACAGAGATGACTCACGGTCATATTTGTAGGAGTCTCCCACTGTGATTTTCTTTGTCACTGAAGACAAGGGTGACCTATGGAGGAGCCCATAGCAGTGAACTTCATTGAATTTTACAACGTTTTTGTCTTTTCAAGTCAGAGCACAAATCAGTCATGGAGAAGAGAACTGCATGAGCAGCTTCGTGTGTGTGTGTGTGTGTGTGCTTGTGCGTGCGTGTGTGTGTGCACGTGTGCATGTGTGCATGTGCGGTGTGTGTGCGTGTGTGCGTGAGTGTGTGTCTTTATGGAGTTTTTGTTAAAGGTTTTTCTGTGGTTGGATTGTGTGGGTTTTTTGGTTTATTTTTGACAGGTTTTTACGTGGAGTCGTAAAAAAAGTGAAAAAGTTAGTAGTTGGTTTCTTTTGACCTGGTTGCGGAGGAAGGGTCATTCTAAGAAAGTACCAGCAGTGTGACGTGGGTCTGTCGTTTTGCTCGTTTTGTCTGCTGCCTTTGCCTAAATACTCCCGGACATGGCTGTGAATCTCCCACCCGGGCAGGCTCAGTTCCTTGGGTGCCCCCAGAGGGAAAAGGACTCTCTTTGGTGCCCTCAGAAGAGATGTTTCTCAGCTCTCTGGGCCTCTCGGGTCAGGCCCACCTTCATCCTTGTCATTCACCGTGTCCCTCGCCTACGCAGAGCTCACTGACCCAGCTCCTCTGGCCTCCGTGCCTGGGCTGGCCTCAGAACCTCCATCACAGCACTAAGAACCACTACCAGCTTTTGCAGATCCAAGCAGAGGCATCCTTGCTAAGAGGAGCCGTATCGGCAGAGCCCACAGGGAGAAGGCCTTCCTGTTGATACCACAAGGTCTATAAAGGTGATCGCTACAGGTCAAAAAGATGCATCAGGGCAAAAAATGCACGTGGTTGGGTGATTCTCCCACATTTCCATTTTCAGTGACCCCCTCTCCGAACCCCAGAGCAGAATTTGTTATTCCTTACTGCGTGTTTCCAGAACTCCTTGCATGGACCCCTGAGGTGGCTCTTTTTGTAGTTCTTGGAAATCCATGGATTTTCCAGGGCAGGTGCAATTCTTTGTGCCCTCCATCTCCTTCATGACCCGGCTCCAGCCCATCTTTAGGATGCTTTTAAGGTTGAATCAAGAGGATGAGAACTAAAGCCCACATGCCAGATGGTGGGTCCCTGGGCCTCCCATCACAGCTGGTGCATTTCTACATTCCCTCCACTTCCTCTGCTCAGGATCCAGCTATAGAGGAGTGAGACATGCTCAGAGACCCTGGTGACACTGAGACCACAGTCTGTTTTGCCCTCTGGTCACCGCTTGGGAGAAGACCTACCTGTAAGACTGTACTTCCTGTGTGCTCTAGTGCTGGCTGCTTTGGAAAGAGCCTTCCGCATATTGGCTTCACAAGCTCAGTGCAACTTAGCAGATAAAATTAGCTAATAATGAGTAGAGTTCTTAAATTTTTAAAAAGATTTTGTGCTTGGTACCTTCATGTCCTCCTGCATCCAATTCCTCTTCTCCTTCAGTATATTTACAATAAGAATTCATGTATGAAATACTGGTCTAGTCACAGATTTTCTAGAGAACACCGGTTGGGGCCAGCAAAGATGTCGCTGTAGCTTGAGTTGTTTTGGTGGACTCTCAGTGCACTCTTGGAAGGTAAGAGAATAAGCTGGTGCCAGGCACAGCAACTGGGTTCAGTTCGGCCCCTAGGCTTCTTGAGAAGTGTCTGAATGGACAGAGCTTCCTCCTCTTGGGAAGGGTAGTGGTTCTCTGTGGGCTTTCTTGGCAGATCGGCAGATCACGGAAGCAGGGACTCCCTTGCCATAGAGGTGCCTCGCCACTCACCCTTCCTTGCCCTCCTCCTGGGCTCCCAGAGGGCCTGCCTGGAGGTGGTGATCTGCAGCCGGCCCACTCCTGGGCATGCAGCACCTCCAGCATGCCGGCTAAAGCCTTGTCTTCTCCCCGCAGCCAGCATGCCCACCAGCGAGACCGAGTCGGTGAACACAGAGAACGTAAGTGGCGGAGGCGAGAACCAAGGCAGCTGTGGGAGTCTCTGGTGAGTGTGGAGGCCACTTGCCCTCCTGTCTCCTCCTGCCTTCTTAGGGGAGCACCTGTGGGGCAGGCACCCCAGGCCATAGCCTCAGATGCACGAGGGGTGGGTGGGCTCACCCTGGACCCCTTGGTCCCCCTCCCCTCCCCTCCCAGGCCCCCAAACCCCCAGCATTTCACATACCTCTCCCCCCAGAGCAGCCCGTCCTGCCGAGGCGGAGCCTGCCATGGGGCATGCCAGGTAACCCGGCAATTCCACTGTGTCCACTAGGTGCTGGTGGAAAAGAAGAGGCACGGCCAAGGCTGGGCCCTCTGGGTGTCGGCGGTGGGGGTAACAGGCCTGATTCTCTTCCTGGTCTGGTGTTGGCATCAGTGCTTTGACGAAGAGCTTGTATGGCAGAGTGGCTGACAGAATGTGCTGCATATTTCAGTTTTCCTTCCCTGGCGGGTTCTCCTGACCTCCTGCGTGGCGGCTGGACCCTGAGAGCTCACGGCACTTGTTTGGGGAGCCTTGCACCATCCTCTCCTAACAGTGGAGGGCGCCACCACATTCACCCCTGTTGGCTTCTGTCTAGATGACCTGGTCCCCAGTGGGGACCAGCAACGTGCAATGTGCAGAGTACTGCCTGCTTTGGGGAGCCCATGCAATTCTGGTTCATTTGCTTCCTGCTGGTATCTCTTAGGTCTTATCTCTGTAAAGTAGAGGTGGTGTTTTTAAGAGAATTTGATCTTCTTGGCAATGATTCATAAAAATAATGTGTTTTGGGCAGAACGCTCAGCAGTTTAAGAAGTGAATTTGCCTCTGTTGTCTTGCTCTGCCCTCCCTACAGCATTGTGAAGTAGGCAGGGGGATGGATTCGTCTTCCTCATTTTACAGATGAGAACACTGAGGCCCAACAAGGTGTGCTGCTTGCCCGAAGCCATGCAGTTAGTGAATAGGAGAGCTAGGACTCCTAGTCCAGTGCTCTTTTTGCTGTAGCAGCAGCACATGCTACTGCTGAGTGGCTGAGAGGCGAGCAGGGGAGGCCCCCCTGACTTCAGTCTGGCGAAGTGGGGTCAGGGGAGAAGAACCCTGGGCATCATGGCCTCTGACAGGGCTGTGCAGGGCCGCTGGCAAAGAGTCTTCTCGTGCCTGGGCCCTGGAGGGTGTCTTGTCTCCTGCTCTGCTCTCACCCCTGATGGCTCACTGGGGGAGCTGGGGATGCTGAGCCCAGGCTTTTGTGCATGGCTTTTCTGATCTCTCAGCTGAAGTGACAGGGAGCGTATGCTCAAGCCTTCCTAACAGAAATCCTATTCTTTTTGTCTTTCTTTCAGCCAAGCCATCTCAAAATCCAAGCTCAGGTCAGTGTCATCTATTTTTTCTTAAGCCTGCGTGTTGGTGTTTCACTTTCTAACTTTTCTATTATACATGGAGGTGCTCTAGACTTGATTTTTACTCTATGGGCGAGGACATTCATATCAAAGATCAGTCTCTCCAGTCAGTATTCAACACCTGCCTTGGAGAGCAGCATAGTAGGTGCTGAAGATCTTGCCCCAAAACAAACCAGTGAGATGCAACAATGAACAATTTCTTGTCACTAATCAACCCTTTAGATTGCCTCCCCCCCAGAGTCATTTCTCAAAGAGACACACTTCTTGTCACTTTTCTGCTTAAAAGTCTTCTATGGAGGGGAAAGTTCAAGAGGTCTTCTGAGGTGCTAGTAATGTTCTGTTCCTTGCTCTAGATGCAGGTTACATGTTTAGTTGCTAAAAGCCCATTGAACCATATACCTATGATTTGTGTACTTTTCCATGTAAATGTTATTTTTCAATTAAAAAAGACATTTTACCACCATATATAAAAATTAACTTAAAATGGACATAGGAATAAATGTAAAACCTAAAATTGTAAACATTCTAGAAGAAAACATACAAAGTCTTTGTGACCTTGGGTTGGGCAAAGGTTTCTTCTTGGATACAACACCCGAAACACTGGCCATCTGAGTGGATAAGCTTCAGACCAGAAGAAAAAATACTTGCAAAACATTTGATATAAAGGACTAGTACCCACTATATAAAAAGAATACTATGTAAATATGATGTGAGTAATAAGAGAACAACAAAAAAATGGTCAATAGATTTCAACAGGCATGTCACCAAAAAAAAAGAGCTACAGATGGCAAAGAAGCACATAGAATGACCATTGGTCACTAAGAAAATGCAAATTGGAATCACAATGAGACACCACTGCACACCTTTTAGAACATTTTTTATACCTGTGGAGCAAATTTTAAAATCTGACAATACCAAGTTCTGATAAGGATGCAGATCAGCGGGAATTCCCATGTGTTCCTGCATGGTGCATGGCACGGCCATTTTAAAAAAAAATTGGTGGTTTCTTGGAAAGTTAAACGTATATTTACCCTATGATCCAGCGATTCCACTTCTGAGGTATTCATATAAAGTGACGGTATATGCCTGCATGAGAAATTTTTATATAGGAGTTTATAGCAGCTTTGTATACAATTGCTGAAAACCGTAAGTAAATCCAATGTCCATAAGATGGTGAATGGGTAGACAAGTTGTAGTTCATGCATATGTTGGAATAATGCTCAGCAATAAGGAAAAAACTGCTGATGGATGCAACACAAATGAGTCTGGAAAGTATTTTTGCTAAGTGAAAGAAGCCAGTCTCAGAAAGCTCTATATTGTATGATTCTCTTTATAGGACATTCTGGATAAAACAAAACGACAGGGACAAAAGGCGGATCAGTAGTTGTCAGGGGCTGAGGTGAGGAGGGTGGGTTAACTATTATAAAGAGCTATGAGGGAAGTTCTTTGAGTGATGGAAATATTTTACCTCTTGATTGTGGTGGTGGTGGTTACAAACCCTATACCTAAATATTATTAATTACCATATGTCGATTGTATCTCAATAAACCTGATTTTAAAAACAACTGGAAGCCCTTCCCTGACTCCCTGTTGCCAGAGGGCATATACGTTCCTTCATCATTTGGCCCCTGGCTCACATTCTGGCCTGATCTTTTGACACCCCTCCCACACTCCCCACTCTGTGGCTATACTGGACTGCTGTCTGTTTTCACCAGGCTCAGTTTCTTCCCACCTCAGTCCCCTTGGCCATGCAGTCCCTTCTGGGTGGAGTGCCCTCCTGTCTGCCCCTGGTGAACTCTTACCCTCTTAACCAGAGCCAGCCCAAATCTCAGCTTTTCAGGGAGGCCCTTCCTGACTTTTGCAAAGAGCATTCGCTGCTCCTGTCTCTTTGTTCCTGTACCCAGGATGCTGAGTATACCACTGAGTGGGGATTGATAATTATTTGCCCCAACCTTGCATGCTTTTCAAGATCAGAGGCTACAGGATGGTGCGCTGTCTTCACCTCTGTAGACCCAGTGTCCGGAGCCCCAAGTGAGGGGCAGGATGGGAAGTGCTGCAGGCCTTCAGGAGATGGGACAGTGAGGCTTCCGAGATTTGGGAGACACTTGAGACTTGTTACTGCAGCATGAATAGACCCAACACTGGTCCTTTTTCAGACCACCTTGCTTGTGTGTACTGAATTATGCATCGCAGGAGAAACCCAGCCTCAGGGGCAGGCTTCAGTGTCCTCAGTGGGATTTTTCTATACTGGTCATCATGTTTCCAGCCACTATTACCACTGGAAACCATATAGCAAGAGCAAGAACAAAGTGCACTTTTCTTGTTGCAGGTCTTGTTGAAGAGTGGGCACCATTCTTTCTTCGCCTGGTCCCTGGGTTACGGTGTTTTCAGCATAGCAATGCAGCTGGGTCAGCCAGAGCTGCAGCCAGGATGCAGCCTGGGGGTTCCTCTGACTCAGGCCCCTAGGGGAAGTGCCTACCAGTCCCATCTGTGAGCACAGCCTACACAGGGCTGACATCGCCACTCGGCTGGCCTTTTCCCGGGACCCACTTCACCAATCCATCCTGTGGCAGGGAACTTTTCCCACAGCGAGAACAGGCTAAGGGAGGGAATACTTAACCTAATTACAAGCCGGAACTAAAAGTCAGTAGAGGACATGCTACTTGTCTGTCTGGCTCAGCTCATTTTATTTGTATGAAAACACAGTTCAATATTGGCTTTTCTCCTGAAGGTATATTTTGAGCCTCACTAGTTAGAAAGGGCACCTGATGACTCAGTATGAAGACTCATGTCCTACTCGGCTTTGACAAGTCTGCCAGGCTCCAGAGAAACCTCCCGGATTTAAGAAAGGACTAAAAGTCTCTGTAAAAAGAAATCTGGGTCTGGAGCACTTTGCTGCCTGATAAATTCCGTATGACGATTAAGATGCCGCAAGAGATGTGTATGAGAAGCCAAACGGCTCTCTACACCCGCAGTGTGAACAGATCCATGTGCCATATGGTGGGAATGTAAATTGCATATATGTGTGCAGGCTCAGTTTTGCATCTGCGGACAAATCTATGAATATCTAGATTTTTCTAGCTGGTTTGAGGACTGTGCATGGCAGATTATGGAGTCGTCTAAAGCCATAGGAAGGAAACTGATGGCACGATCAGGTCAAGATTACACATTTAAAGTTGTATTTAAAGACCAATGTCATTTCTATGTCATGTGTTCTCATCTTTCCTTCCTGCACCCCCTGATCTGGGTCTCCAGAGCCAAAGACAAAATCTGTCCCCATGACGTCTATCGGGCATTCAGAGGCCGCATCTGCTGTTCACGGAGTCACGTTTGCTTCTCTTGCAGCCGACGCTGGCGTCGCTGGAACCGCTTCAATCGCAGAAGATGTCGGGCTGCTGTGAAGTCTGTCACGTTTTACTGGCTGGTTATTGTCCTGGTGTTTCTCAACACCTTAACCATTTCCTCTGAGCACTACAACCAGCCTGACTGGCTGACGCAGATTCAAGGTGCGAGCAGAGACTGTGTTCTTTTCGTTCTGATCCCGAATTAGGGCTTCCTGAGGCTGTCCAGCTGCAGTTTAGTCTTAGCTGATCCATGTGTAGTGACGGGAAATTTCCGGGGGCGCTAGAAGCCAGAGGAACCATCCAAACCCAGGCTGCACCTGGAGTGGTGGGGGCGCAGCCCACATGGTGTGCTGGGGCCAGCTGATGCCGTATTTCGTCTCTGGCATATTTCGTCTCTCTCTTTAACCGGTTTGATTGCTTCGTGGTGTGCGGTGGAATTACTGAGACCATCTTGGTGGAGCTGGAGATCATGTCTCCCCTGGGGATCTCTGTGTTCTCTGTCTTAACCCTATGACTGCCTAGGGCCAAGGAATCTTGTCGTTGGAAGGGACCTCATCTCCCTTCTCCCCATCCCCACTGGAAGCTTTATTTTCCCGTGTGGTATTCTTGGCAAGTGGTTGTTTCTCCCCTACCTGGAAGGCCCCAGGAGTGTGGGACAGGAGCTCATCCCCAGAGACAGCCTGTTGTGAGTTGGTCAGTTGTGATCCATGGGGAGGTCCTATTTCTCTCTAGCTCTCCAGCCTGCTGGGTGCTGTTCTCTGTGGTTAGAAATGACTTTGATAGACAACTGCTGCTTATCTCATGGTGCCCTAACCAAGACCAGACTGGCCTTTCTGTGACTGATTGAAACAAAAATTATAATACGTTAGTGTAAATGCAGAAGCACAGGCTTTTAGGGGTAGAAAGCCTCAGAGATTGTGTGGTAAACCTGCTCCTCCCCATTTTATAGTTGGTGAAACTGGGGCACAGAGAACTCAAGGGACTTCTCCAGAGTCCCACATCTAGGCGGTAACAGAAGCAGGACTAGAACCCGGCACACAGACCATAAACGTTGGTGCCACATGTCTGTAATGGGGGCCACCACGAAGACTGGGTCAAGGCAGTGGGGCGTTTCCAGCAGACACGGGCAGGAGGGAGGTCTGGGGAGGGAAGACCAGTCTGAGCCACGCCCACAATGAGACCCTTTGTCTTTCCAGATATTGCTAACAAAGTCCTCCTGGCTCTGTTCACCTGCGAGATGCTGGTAAAAATGTACAGCCTGGGTCTCCAGGCATATTTCGTCTCTCTCTTTAACCGGTTTGATTGCTTCGTGGTGTGCGGTGGAATTACTGAGACCATCTTGGTGGAGCTGGAGATCATGTCTCCCCTGGGGATCTCTGTGTTTCGGTGCGTGCGCCTCTTAAGGATTTTCAAGGTGACCAGGTGAGAGTGCGTGTAACTCGCTGCAGGCGTTTTCTGGCTGGGGGGGTGGTGAGCAGCCACATCCTGGCCCCGTGATGTCCGCTGTGTCCCATGGGCGTTGTGTGCTCACACCCCCATCTTGACTTGTAGGCACTGGACTTCCCTGAGCAACTTAGTGGCCTCCTTGTTAAACTCCATGAAGTCCATCGCTTCGCTGTTGCTTCTGCTTTTTCTCTTCATCATCATCTTTTCCTTGCTTGGGATGCAGCTGTTTGGTGGCAAGTTTAATTTTGACGAAACGCAGACCAAGCGGAGCACCTTTGACAATTTCCCTCAAGCCCTTCTGACAGTCTTCCAGGTGAGCCCGTGTGAGGAGGCCGCGTGAGACGCCATCTTGTCCCTTCACAGCTCGGGAAGACAGGATGATTCTGCTGGGATTAGTGACCTCTGCCCCAATAATGCTTTGACAAATCCTGTGCCACTGAAGTTGATTGTTGCGCACCTGACTCCAGCTATCTAGGGGGCGTGATTTCATGTTTTCGTAAGACCACTGGATATGGGACAGAATAATAAACCAAAAACATCTGTTTGATTTTGTGAGGTTTCCAAGGTTCTTGGGAGATAGGCTCTACAATCCTCTTTCTGTTCTTTGTGAATTTTTGATTGCAGGCAAGTTTTGTGATCCTGGATCTAACGGATTTGTGCAAGGAGGTGAATTCTAAAGCCCTCATGCTCCGGTGTGTAGTCAGAGGAATCAGGGTGCTAGAAGTGTTGTGACAGCCTTCTGCCCCCTTGCTTCTCCCTCCTGTGATGTAACAGGGACCAGCAGGCTCCTAGCATGGCGCCTGTGTGCAGGCAACGAGGCTGAGATGGAGGCACGGTGGCAGGTAGCTCGGCAGGTGGCTCTGCCCTCAGAGCAGCGACCTCCACACCCCGCCTGGCTTTAAGCGGAGGTGTTCTCAACCCCCTCTTCCTATATTGTGAGCCGAAACCCTTCCTTAAACAGACAGTGGCAGATAAATTTTAAAGACCCATCTGCCCTTGTCGCTTTTCACACGTGTCATCAGCGAGCTCCGGAGTCCGGCCTGGGAGGCAGGAAGGCCTGGTGGGAGGGACCGCAGACATCGAGGTCCCCTGCCGGCCCTTTCAGTGCTCCGCTCTGTGACCTTGGAAAGTCACTATCCTTTGTGGAAAAAAAAAACGAAACAAAAAGCCAAGAGACTAGAGGGAATGATCTGTAAGATTCATTTCCACTTGGTCATTTTGAGGAGAATAGAATTACTGTCGCTGCTATAGGGCCATACTTTTTTGAAATGTACTTTAGTTTTTTTAGATTATACTGAATTTTTAGCCACTGATTAGTTATTCTTTTTTCTGTTTTCTTTCAGAGAAACCTGTATGGTGGTGGTGGTTTTTGGTAGCACCTGTGTGTGGCACAAAATTCAGATGTTTACAAAAGGATATAAAGTAATAAATGAGTCTCCTTCCCACCCAGCCACCAGTTTCTCCTTTGGGGAACAAACACCACTGAATAGTTTCTGTGTATTCTTTGAGATGTATTTGCCCTTCGATGTAAATCAGTGAACCTACCAACCAACCTACCTCCCAATGAATGTCCTATGATGTTGATGGTAGCTCATTTTATGTGCCGTTTTCCAGCTTCTCACGATTTCAAGTGTCCTTAAGAATCTATCTTATTGGTCCATAAGAGTTTGCCTCCCACTTTTCGATTCTGCAAAAATTCTGTGGTGTGGATGTCCCCTAATTCATGTAACCAGTCCCTAGCCGATGAATATTTCACTGTGGCTGGCCTCGGCTCCATGGGTGACCTTGAACACACACCAGGGACACGTGTGTGAGTGTAGATGTGTAGGGTAAATTCCCCAGAGGTGGAATTGCTGTTTTAAAGGGTGTGTGTCCATTTTCAACACTGATACTCTTGCCCGACACGCTCCTCAAGGTAGCGGCAGTCCATCCTCCAGGGATGGGGTCTGGACGCTGTCCGACACCTCACCGCTTTTTACCACAGTGGGTGTTCAAGCTGTTTGATGGTTGTCTGACAGGTGAAAATGGTATCTTGTAGTTTTAATGCCTATTTCTCTTATCAGGAGTGAACCTGAATGGTCTCGTGTGACTAACAGCCACTAAGTTCCTTTCCTGGGAACTGCTTTATCTTTTGAAATCATTCACCCATACTTCTCTTGGGTTGTGAGCCATGACAGTTTTATTTTTTAAAGTGTCTGGTGCAGATAGACAATACAGAAGCACATGTACTCCCTCTGTCTTTCTTTCTCTCTCTGGAAGATGGTATGGTTTATTTTTATTTATTATTATAAATTATTTTTTAGATAGTATGTTTTTAAAATGCTATTTAGGTTCATCTGTTCTTACCTCAATATAGATTAAGTTATCAGATATCATCAGCAGAGAAGATTCCATGTGAAATTTCAGGTAGTTATTAGTATCTACTCATTGGATAGTTTGTAAATTTACATGAGATATTTGGAATTCCCAGCCTCTACAGATCCATGGGTCTAATTCTCCATTTCTAGTATAGATTAACTGTGTGGAATAGTAGGCAGCCATTGAAAGGATTGAAGGCACTTACTGACACGGGGGGGTCTCCAGTATATTGTTGAGTGGGAAAAAAAAGAGCAAATGCAGAAAATTCATATAGTATGACATCCTTTATGTCCAATAAGTGTGAGAGGACACCACCTACCTCTTTCCTCTGGGCGGGTATCTGTGTGCTTATGTGCACAGAGGTTCTGGAGAGAGATGCACCAACAGCATGCTCTCCGGGGGGTGGTGGTGCAGAACTGGGGTGTCATCAAAGATTAGGTAGGTCTTATATGTAGTGCTGCTTTATTTCCATGTGAAGAATTAACTCCTGTGTTTGTGTAATTGAAAACAGTGTTTTGAAAACTCTACGGGGTAACCGATGGATTTGTTGAGCACAGTGAAAGGCAGCTCAAACCAGATTTGGGGAGCCCTCGGCGGGTTCTGGAGGGCCGTCAGGAGCTGCGGTCCAGCTGCGTGTGGACTGACCGCGGTTTTGGCCTCTTAGATCCTGACAGGGGAAGACTGGAACGCTGTGATGTATGATGGCATTATGGCCTATGGTGGCCCATCCTCTTCAGGGATGATCGTCTGCATCTACTTCATCATCCTCTTCATTTGTGGTAACTGTATCCTTCAAGCTGACCAGGGGCTTTGTCATTTTGTTTCACCCTGTCTGAACTTCCCTGCAGTGGTAGTGGTGGCGGCGGCCGTTGGGGTGGGGAGATGAATGCCTTTACCTTGTTAGCCCAATATCTGCTCCCCTTTGCTGTCGCTGGGACGGCATGGTGGGGTCAGAGTTCCAGTAGGCTTTGAGGAATGAGCAAACTGGGGAAGGGAGCATGGGACAGTGCGTGGGCTGTTCTCGTTGTCACCCAGCTTGGCATCACGGCTCCTGTACAAGTCCCAGGGGAAGGCTTAGGGCAGAGCGGAGTGGTCTTCCATGCCATCATGCTTGGGAGGTTAGCTGTGGCTCTTGAGAGCCTTCCTAACCAGTGGGGACCCATTGTCAGTGGCTTGATGTAAGCCCCCTGGACCTGATTTGGCTTTGCTGATCTGTACATCTCTGGGGATCATGTATCCATTGGCTGACTGCTGTGTTAGGCTCTGAGCTCTTTTCTGACTCCTTTTATTCCTTTTCCCTGGCAAGAGGCCCTCCCTAGTTCTAGACTTCTGCAACTTTGGATCTCTCTTTCACTCAGTCAGACCCTTTATGACCCTGTAACTTTTGGTTCTGTCTTCTCTCTTTCTCTCTGACCTCCCTGACTGGCACAGACCTGGCATATGGAACCCTCAGGGTTTGGAGAAAGAGCAGTTGTACCAATATGTGAATACCACCTCTTGGTCTTCACTTTTTTATTTTAAAGAATCCTACCTGGATTCTTCTAAGAAGCCCCAGATTCCTTCAGCTGTTTTCCCCTTGTTTTTTAGTGACTTGTCTTCTGTGCAGAAGCCCCAGCACAAACTTCTAAGGACAATACATAGAAACCCTACTAGTCCCCCAGGCAGCTCCAGCACCCCTCCTACCCAGAGGTGAACTCTCCTCCTCGATTTATCCTTATAGCTCCTACTGCACGTGGGGGGCCGGATCCTACTGGACTTGGGATGGGTGCTTCTCCCTCCCCCCAGCTCAACAATAAACTTCTTGAGTCAGGAATTTCTTCTTTGTATTCACATCTCTCATGGCTTATAGTGGAGGGTCTTGCACATAGTCGGCCCTTAGTAAATGGTTGTTAAAGGAATGATCAGTGTTTTCTTATTGTACTCTCCTCCATGAACCCTTCAGGCCAGAACCCTTCTGGCTTTAGGTCTGTGGGGAAGTATTCCCTGGTGACACTCATTCTGGTTACATGTTGTGTTGTTTTGTTTTGTTTGTAATACATGTATCACTGAAATGCTTAAGTAGTTTATGTTCTGTCTCCCCCTACATGAGAGTAGGAACTCTGGTCCGTCGTGTCCCTAGCACCCAGCACAATCCCCAGCATGTTGGAGGTGCTTGGATCTTTTTGAGTGAATTCCAGAGCACACCACTATTTAGGAGGGTCTGGGTAATGCCTCTAAATACAGATGATGGGTGTTTGCTCTTGGAAACTGTCTATTACAAACTTGCAAGATTTTTCTATGGTTTATTACTCTGGATGTGCTTTCCACTACTCAAAATTTGGTGTCATTGCAAGACTAAGGATATATTATTTCTTCATTGAGATCATTGGTAGGAATTCTCAATACAGTTAGTCCTGCAGTAATCCCTACCTGAGCCATCATTATCCCACACATATCAGAGAAGGGCTTGCATTACCACGCCATCACCCAGCCCAAGACAGATCGCTTCCTTGGGCTCATTACAGCTCTGCTTAACACATAGTCTAACATACCAAAGGCCTTTTGGAAGTTTTAATGCAACTCATTCATGTTTCTATCATCTTTAAAGACTTGAATAGATTAGTCAAGGATGATATGCCCTGGAAGCTATTTCATCACCAGTCTCTTTGTTAGGTTACGTTTGTGTTACCCAGCTGAGATTTCAGATTGCACAGGGCCTGGGGGACAGTGGTGCACCTCTCCCATCTCAGGGCTCTTGGGCTCCCACAGTCTTGCACACAGATGACCATGCATCAGCCAAGGAGAAGCATGTTCAGAGAAGGAGCCATCTAGACTTACTTCCCTCTGATCCCTGTGCTTCTCAAAAATGTATTTAACCGCTGGTGAATAAGAAACAGGCATCTTCCAAGAGATTTGGGAAACTTGCTCAGAATTATTTTTTTTTCTATCCAAGGAAACCACACATACAACATTATAGTAAGAGCAAAAAACCTGATAGCTTGTTCAGTCACCTCGCTTTTGGGGATTTGAAAAAATAAAATCCAACGACAGTAGTCAAAGATACAGCTGTAGTGGGGCTATTCAAAAGAACAGTTGGGCACCATCTGGCAATATATCAGTGTTTGTGTGGTGAACGAACGAGTATCCGCAGACTCTGAAGACTCTGAAGACCATTTCAGATGAGAAAGACTCAGACTGCATTGTGCAATCATCATCTTGAATAATGGGTAGCCTAAAAGGGTCTATTTGAGAAAGCATGCCCTGTATATATATGTTATGGGTACGTGTGTGTTTTGAAAGAAAGAAAACAAAGAAAGAAAACGTAAAATGCATAACAACACCGTGTTCACATAATAGATTGTTTCATGCAGTGTGTATGATAGGTGTAGATACCTCAGCGTATGGAGACACACGTGTCTGTGCAAGCACATACGTACGCACGCCTGTTAAAGGAAATGTTGAAGTTTATGGGTTTCCATGGCTTTTAGTGGATCTTAATTTTGCTTCTTTCCAGACTGTCTTCTACAGGTTTCTAGGGTTTCTTGTTTTTGTTGGTTTGGTTTTGTTTTCTAAGCAGGCTCTGGCCTTCTGGTCTTACTAAGTGAATACAGCACTTAGGGGACAGTCACCTGTTACCAGCCTTCCAGAGCACAGAGGGGTGTGACATTGCCATTGTCGACCACAAGTAGTTGGATTTAGAAATTGTGTTGTTCCCTTAAAATGTTCCAACTAGATATCCTACTGAATGTCTTCTTGGCGATCGCTGTAGACAATCTGGCTGATGCTGAAAGTTTGAATACTGCCCAGAAAGAGGAAGCTGAAGAGAAGGAGAGGAAAAAGATTGCCAGGTAACCCTGTTTTCACCCGAGGATGGAATTTTGGGCAGAACCCAGGCCCTCGGCTCTCCTTCCCTCAGAGCCGAGAGTAGGAGTCACATGGTCCCATGCTTAAAGAATCCCTGTGGTTAATTTTGGTGTCATAAAATAAATGATGCATTCGATGCTGATGAGCTCTCACATGAGAATTTTAATACGATGATCTGTGTAATGAACCCAGCGCACTGAGGTGAACGGGAAGGCTCTGAGTGTGGGTTGTGCTATGTTCTCACTTTTAGAGTTGTTTCCAATTAAATTCTGTCCTTCATCAGGCCGCTGTGGATTCCGAATCTGGATTAGCATTTTTGTACATAGCAATATGGTTATTTGGTTTCTCGTGTTCTTTTCTCTACAGAAAAGAGAGCCTGGAGAATAAAAAGAACAACAAACCAGAAGTCAACCAGATAGCCAACAGTGACAATAAGGTATATGTCCTGAAACACTTCTCCCCTTTCTGTTTCAAAATGAATCTGTTGATATTGTCACAAATATACCATTTACACCGTGAGAAGTATCCTGTGTGATATTTTGGTGTGAGAGTGTGGCACACCATTATAGACACTGGCTTCCCAGGGGTATTCTGGGTGAATTTAGGCAGCTAGCTGGTGATCCATCAATGTTTCCCCAAATAGCCAGCATGATAAATATTTGGGGGGACCACTTAAATTTTCTTTATTGGAATTGTGTCATCAGACCTGATCTGTTAGTATCTTCTCAGTAGGGGTTAAAATCGAGGATTGTTCATAGAAATGTGCCTCCAGAAGGAATCTTGGGATTGGGGATCTGGGTGCTCAGGGCTATACCGTCAAACTTCATCCCACTTGTGACAGCTCTGGATTTTTCATTCATTTGTTTGGTTCCCTAAGTCAGTAAATACTTATTGAGTGGTTATTGTGTGGCAGATACTGGGGCTCAGCAATGAAGAAGACCGATGAGGTCCCTGTGTGCATGGAACTCGCATCCTAGCAGGGAGACAGGAATCTGCCGTGCAGTTAGCATACAGTGTGTGGGACAGTGCTGGGTAGAGAGGGGCATGGATGGTGCCGGCTAACCATGGCTGGGTAGAGGTTATACTCGTTTTCTCCTCATCTGCCCTCAGAGCTATGGCTGAAGCAGAATCACCACTGGGGATACCTGTCCATATGCATGCATGCACTTACATGCAATGTGCATTTTGGAGAGAGCTTCTTTCTGTGTGCTGAATGGCAGGGCTGATTCTTCACTTGGGTCCTCTGCAGTGCATTGAAGTCAGAGTCTCCCCTCCTCCCAAGACCTCTCTGTCATCCTAGGTTACAATTGATGACTATCGAGAAGAGGATGAAGACAAGGACCCCTACCCACCTTGTGATGTGCCAGGTATGGTGGCAGAGGCCAGTGACAGGCTCTCAGTTCATGGGTGATGTGGCTTTGCTGCCGCACAGTGATCAGGGGCTCAGTCTGTGGCCGACCAGCCCAGCTGGCGTGATGGTGGGTGGTGAGGCTGCTGAGGCCATGAGTCTGGTCTCCTCATGGAGCAGTTAGCCCTGCTCTTTGTTCTTGGTCACCCAGGTGGCTTACGTAACCCAAATTCCAGGTGGTGGGGAGAGAAAGTATGAGTGGATCCAGGCCAGCCCCTCTTCTTCTGGGAAATCTCTTTAGGAGGCAACCAGCCATTCCTACTGTTATTACTGCTCACCTGACCCTTTCACATTCGCTGGTGCTTTTATTGCTGATGTAGCAGGGACTGTAGGGAGGGGGGGATGATCCTGTTGGGCTTGAAGTCTCACACACAGTTTTTCAGGCTGAAGCTGAGCAGGGCTACTGGGGAAACAGCCGGGTGCTGGGAGTATGGCAGTGAGAAGCCCGCCACTGATACCTTCTGCGTGGGTCAGATTTGGAACTGCTGGGAACCTCCTTCCCAGAACCACACACGCTCACAGACAGGCACACTTCTCGGCCCCCCACACACACTCAGTCCATTCGGAAGGGTTTTGATGAACGTAAGCTGATAGATGTGAGAGTTTACTCTCCATGGGAAATTGCGAATAATGATTCGAACCAGAATGCGATTGTTATTTCATGCCTATAAAAAAGGTGTCTCATTTAAAGTAGGGGAAGAGGAAGAGGAGGAGGAGGAAGATGAACCTGAGGTTCCTGCTGGCCCCCGTCCTCGCAGAATCTCAGAGTTGAACATGAAGGAGAAGATCACCCCCATTCCTGAAGGGAGCGCATTCTTCATTCTGAGCAAGACCAACCCGTAAATACCCAGTTTCTAATTTCATTGCTGCTGTGTCTCCCCTGTCACCCTACAGATTGCTCGAGGGGGTGCTGGAGATGGGGTGAAGGAGGGTGGCTCAGGGTCTTTTTCTGTGCCTATGCATTGGAGACCCTGCGTCCCTCTCTTGCTCCAGCTTTGCCTTTGCCTTCTGTCTCTTCCTGGCCGTCCTGTTCTTGGATGGAGGTGCTGTTAGGAGTATGACCGGCCCCTGGGACGAGTGCCATTCCAGATTCTCCTCCCCTTTAGCCCCTGTACTGGTCAGAGCCCATGGCTCAGGTGTCCACGGGTTGTCACTTGTGAAGTGTTTTCCATCCAGAGGACCCTTTCTTCACAAGTGGGTCTTTCTGTTGAGGTGCTTTGGGGATGAGAATTTTGTGGCCAAGTTCTGCACAGCATCTTCATCCTGAGATCCAGTTTAGTTAATCACTATTCCCCATTGAGTTTTATGGCAATACAGTGATATTGCTCAAAGATATTTTATAGGTGGTAGCTCTTCAAGTCAGGTCTAGGATATCCTGCTTAAAATAGCATTTCTCGTGTTAAAATGATAAGGTGCTCACCAAGAGCACTGTACTTACAAGTACTGCAAGAGGATGACATTTATTTACTAGCTGGTTTCTAGGTTTTAAATCATCTGAGACAGATGGCATACCGGGGGGGGCGGGGAATGAATGGCTCCTGGAAAGGTTTCTGGAATTATAGAAGCAGTTCTTGGCTGTCAGAGGAGAACTCTATGGAATTCACAATCCCCAGGGAGACACAGGTGGGAAGCAAGGCTGCAGTCCTTAGTAACTTGAGGATTTGATGGTAGTTTTTATAACGCATCACTGTTGAGAGTTTGGGTGTTTCTTTATTTTTTAAAAAAGATTTTATTATTTGAGAGAGCGAGCATGAGCAGGGGGAGGGGCAAAGGGAGAAGTAGACTCCTCACTGAGCAGGGAGCCTGACTCGGGACTCGATCCCAGGATCCTGAGATCATGACCTGAGCTGAAGGCAGACGCTTAACTGGCTGAGCCACCCAGGCGCCCCTGGGTGTCTCTTTAAAAAAAACTATTTGATATTACTGAAGCCTACAGCTCACTGGGTCTACATATATTGAAGGAATGGATTGATTTCCCCCCAAAGCTGTGAACCCTCTTGCACCTTGGAACGTGTTCCCAGACTCACCTGCTAACAGCTTGCAAGCCCTCCCAGGGCACATCCCAGCATGAAGCAGCCCCCAACGGGAGGTTTCTCATAAAGTTGACTCCAGTTTTGAAAGTGAAAAAGGAAAATATTTTCAAGGGAAAACATACGTGTATTCTCTGGGCTAAAAATAAAATCTTTAAATTCTAAAGTCCAGTGTTGAGGTTAAGGGTCATCTGGCACTAACTAGCCCATGGGACAGCAGGAATAACAGGACGCTGAAGATTCTATCATGTGGTACTAAGATCCCTGTGCAATTTGTGCATGATGCAACTTTCACTCCACTTTCTCACCAGTGCTTGTGGGTCAGCTCCAAAGTTTAAAAACACAAACAAAAGTGGCACCTGGGTGGCTCAGTCAGTTAAGCCTCTGCCTTCGGCTCAGGTCATGATCCCAGGGTCCTGGGATGGAGTCCCGCATCGGGCTCCCTGCTCAGCGGGGAGTCTCCCTCTCCCTCTGCCTGCCTCTCCCCCTGCTTGTGCTCTCTCTCTAATAAATAAATAAATAAAATCTTAAAAAAAACAAAGCACTTAGGACAGAATCTCCACATAACAGGAGATTTTACCAAGCCCATCTACTAGTCATTTTCATACAGCCAGCTGTATGAAGCTGTTGCAGCGAGCTCTGTGCTCAGGTTCTTCTTAAGGCGGGGATAGGAAGCCACTGGGCTTCTCATGTCATAGGGGGAGCTGTTACCATCCAGCTGGATTGGAAATCTCCCTCAGTCCTTACTAGCTGTGTCACCTTAAGAAATTTCAAATGCGTAAGCCTCAATTTCTCCACTTGTAGCCGGACGATAATCCCCACTTTTAAGGACTTAATGAATGATGTCTCTGGGGAGCCCCCACACAGAGCCATGGCACTGTGGGCCCTTGGGGTCTGCCTTCTGGCACTTTCCAGGGGCTCACAGTCCGGTGGCTCGGGTTGGCCAGGCGGGGGCACGGGCAGCATAGCAGACCACTGTCCTCTGCCTGACCTGTCACCGCCGAGGGCTGTGTCCATGCAGCGGCTTTCCCCACAGGATCCGCGTGGGCTGCCACAAGCTCATCAACCACCACATCTTCACCAACCTCATCCTTGTGTTCATCATGCTGAGTAGCGCCGCCCTTGCCGCCGAGGACCCCATCCGCAGCCACTCCTTCCGGAACACTGTAAGCCACGGGGCAGGGACAGGCGGGCAGGTCTTCGGCTGGGAGGAGCACTGGGCTCTCTGGCAGGGGCCGTCACTCAGGGCTAAAGGCTAGAGGCGGCCTCTTCTCATTCACGTGGAGGCATCTGGTATTTCGGGACGTGCGTGCCCGGGGGGTTTTGTCTTAGCAGGACAAACCTGGTTTGAATCCTGTCCGCGACACTTCATTTCAAATACTCTGCAGTAACTTATAGTGCATTCAGGAGCCCCGCTTCTCCTTCTCTTTGTTCCTTGCTGCCAACATTTTCGTCCCTCTCTTCCCCTCCCTGGTCATATTCATGTCCACACCTGTCTTGAGATTTCTGCCCGCATCCAGCAGGAGAGAAAGTAGAAATGGAACCAGGTATGTCGCGTGCCCAGAAGCTCATATTTAGGGTTGGTGGGAAGATGTCTAGCTGACGTGGGCTGAAATTCACAGAGCCACTTGGTCTCATCACCGGTGGAAACACAAGTTGGGTGGGGACGATGGCGTGTGGAACCCCGTGGTGCAGTGGAGAGGAAGAACTGTGTTTTGGTGGGGCCAGGAGACGGTTTTACGAAGAAAACAAGTGGGCAGTTTTCTGTTATCAGTTTTGTACTTTAGGGAGGAGAGCACCCTTCCACGGCATCTGTGCTGCTCAGAAATTGCATCCAAAACAGTTCTTGCCTGAGCTGTCCCACCTTAACAGTTCAGCTCATTCAGCACTGAGAACAATGCAGAGAGTGAGAACAATCCCAGGGTGACACAGCTTCGGAAGCCCCATAGTCTGTTTACTGCTTTGGCCTTGATACCATAGTGCAGCTTCAGGTGGTTATCGGGAAACCCAGGAGAGGGAGACCCGCAGGTGTGCGAGGTCATCGGCATTGGTGCCTTGCCTGGTGCGTACCTCTCTGCGGTCATCAGATTTTTAGAGATTTGAGGATTAAGACAGATCCCCAGATCAGTGTCCCGGGATTTTGGTTGTGACCATCAAGCCTTGTGCTGTATCTTTTCATTTCCAGGGCTGTCGGTTTGCAGCCTAGCAACCCCAATCTATCAGACTGATAAAACATGGGCACTCTGATGTGCAGATTTTAAAACAACTTCCTTCCTAGGGCACATGTTGGTGTTGATGCAAAGACGAAGGCCCTGCATCCGTCCTAATCTGCACTCACAGATCAGGGCTTGTGCTAGAGATGCTGAGATTGTCTCTATCTCAATGTTCAGATGGAACGTGAGCTCCATCATAGACATGAAGCACAAGGGGAAGAAGCTGTTTGGAAAAAAATACCATTATTGACAGAGTAGGTCAGGAGCTAGGCTAGAACATAGACTGACTAAGAGTTAATTTACAGGGGGCCTCATGTTCTTATTTTTTATTGTAATTACTTCCCCGTGAGCTTATTTCCCTGCCCTTTTCCCAAGAATGTTATTGTTCTTCTTAGACAGATGTACATATGTGTACATATATTGCCTGTAAAATACTATATAGTGTTTATTGTGGTAAAGAATGCTTAACGTGAGATCTACTCTCTTGATAAATTAAGTGTATGAGTTAGCATTCTTAACGGTAGGTAGTGTGTCATAGAGCTGGTTTCCAGAAGTTACTCATCTTGCCTGACTGAAACTTTACACCCGTTGAACATCTCCCCATTTCTCCCTCCCCCAGCCCCCGGCAGCCTCCGTTCTCCTTTCTGTCTAAGGGTTTGGCTACTTTAGATGCCCCCATGTAAGTGGACTCATGCAGTGCTTTCGTTGTTGTTGTTGTTGTTGTTGTTGTTTTAAGCTTAGCTGAGTTATTAGTGAAAGAGGTCTGAATAAGGAAAGAACAGCTTGCATCTAGGAGCTCTGACCTCCAGCACCAAGTTGGATTGCTGGTATGTGGGCAGCGGTGTGTCTTGGCTACGTGGGTGCTTTCTACGTGAACAGTTCTGCTGTGACCTGGGATGGAGGAAGGGGCAGGGGCTTGCTGTGTGCTGGAAATACCTTTCATTGCCTGTCTAGAAACATAAATATACAAAAGGTGTCCAGCAAAATCTAGAAATCTCTAAACAGAAACAGTTGGAGCAATGAATACCCTCCAGAGAACTTGAGCTGAAGACAGTTGGCCTTTGCAGCAGGGGCCCTGCCCTTACTGTGGTGGAGCAATCAAGGACTCCCCTGGGCTGGATCCCAGACTTGAGTCACAGGACCCGAGGTTCTCGACTAGCATTCCACAGACCTCACTCCGCCCGACCCTTCCCTGGCATCCTCATCTGTTACCTGAAGGGAGTTGGTCTGGGGCGTCTCCATGGTCCCTTCGGCTCTGATCTCTTCAGTGCTTTCGAAGCCACAGGGCATGGCTGTGAAGAAGAGCAGCAGCCAAGATGGCAGCCAAGATGGTCTCTGCAAGTAGCAGAGTCTTGGCTGCCATCTTTGTGGCGGAGGGTTCCCTGTGAGTAGCCTCAGTCGAGCAGTCAGACTCTTGCCGCTGGTGCCCACCTGCCCTACCCACCTGTCCACCCCCACGGCTCTGAGAAGAAGCAGGGTGCCCAGAAGGGTTCCCTGAGCGGGACTCAGTTGGAGAGTAGATGGTATTTTCAGGAAATCTGATAAAGTAAGCTGGACTGGTAATTCAAAGGCCAGGTCAGTCTGTTCTTTGCTTGGGCCCAGCTGGGTAAAAACTAAACAAAAACTCAGTGTCGGGAGAGAGCCGTGTTAGAAAAGAGCGGAGGCCAAGAGTTTTACTTTCCAAGTTACTTGGTAAAGTAAAAGTACAAGTTTACTTGTAAAGTCAAAATCTTCCCTGAGGACTTACCAGCCCTGCACGTCAGTGAAGGAAGGGCACTGTGACTCCTGGATGACATGGGCTGGAATCGGAAGGGGCACACGGAAGCTTCTGGCCCCCACTGGCTACCACTCACACCTTCGTTTACATTTCCCCACCAGTCCGAGGCCCAGCTAGATGACGCCCTATCCCATTCAGCCAAAAAGGCAGTTAAAAATCCAACATAGTGTATAACACTCCAGTTTATCTGGTATCGCCAGTTTGTCAGCGTTGTGCTGTGATGAGCAAAGGTTGTATTAATAAAGCACTTGTAGAAATGAGCCTTTGTCCATCCATGACACCAGACAGGGAAGAGAGTCCGCATGAGTAGTTGAAGGAGGTGAGTGTCCCCAGATGGTCTTCGTTGGTCACAAAGCTGAGCCGTAACCGGCCGGGGCGGGGGGCGGGCAGCGCACCTGCCCCCAGAGCGGCGGGCCTGTCTCGGGAGGACGGGAGTCTGACTGCATGCAGGGGTTCTGCCTGTGGGTGTGCAGCTGTCCGAATTTGTCCGGATGCCTGTGTCTCATGTCCACAATGTTGTACCTTGCAGATACTGGGTTACTTTGACTATGCTTTCACAGCCATCTTTACTGTTGAAATCCTGTTAAAGGTAATGGCTTTTTCATTGATCCTCACCTACCCTAAAGCAGCTGTAGCAATAATGGTTGCAATTCTTTGTTTACCTTCCAGATGCTAGGTTATGCAGATTATGTCTTCACTGGTACTTTTGCCTTTGAGATCGTTTTGAAGGTAACAGGTTCCACAGCCGTGTGTCTAAGGGGCCTGCTCCTGTGGGACACGTGGCAAAGAAGCGTGAAGTGCTTTTGACTATTTTTATTTTTTGCCTTCTGTGATCAAGCTACACTTTTTTTTTTTTTTAAACCAAAGGACTTTTTTTTTTTCTGTAACCATTCAACTTGTTTTTGCTGTTTCTTTTTAACCTTTCAATGCATGTAGGAGCTACTTTGGCTTCATCATAGTGACTGGAAATTATTTTGCTCCTTCTTAAATATATCCTCTGAAATTTGTCATCTGATAACAGATACATCACTCTGTGTGAACCTTCTTCCACCTTTCCTGACCTCAAAGTCAGAGGAGAAGCATTTATCCTATGAAGGGAATGTATCTCCTTTCATTTCTTTGACTGAATTGTTTTCAGTGGCCTGAAATAGTAACACGCTATTTTCTTGCAATGGGATTTGCAAGATAACCCGGGTCTTTTTGTGTTAAGATATTTTATATCTGTTTTAATGGATGGGCTTACATTTATGCAAACAAAAGGAACATGCTTTGGACGGGGCGCCCTAAATGTACCGCCCATGCATGAGCTCACACTTGCCATTGCTGCATGTGGTTTGTGGACTGGGTGTGATGGCCCCCCGGGGCGAGCTCATTCCCTATGCACTCAGAAGTCTGGAGACCTGCAGCAGACAGCTGGGGAAACCACCCCCTCCACTTACTAAGTGTCATGGGTCATTGCCGGACCGGGATAGCGTGACCCGTGACAACTGTCAGAGCAATCGTCTCCTAGTGGGGAGACAAGCTGGGAGATTTTCACCACAATTGTCTTTAAACCAACCATTTTCAGTTTTTATGTGTGCATCTCAGGGGGGAAAAAACGTATTTTATGTTAGACTCCTGTGGAACTTGGGCTCTTTACAAAATCTTTTATAAAATAAAACCTCGCTGAACTTTGCCAGGGAATGGGGTACTTGGAGTTACTTTCTTTTTTTGTTGTTGTTGTTTAATGAAAACATCAGCGCAAAACCAACCAACCTCTACTTAAAACTTTGTTAAAAATCTAAAAATTCACATTTCACTTTCCTGCCTTTAAACCATCGACTGTGGCTGACAGTTCTCAGTGAGAACCCTGCCCGGTTAGTGATTCTAGCAAAGTCACCACAGTGAGGAGCACAGACACATAATGCACAGGGCTTGGGGGTCAAGGACACTCACCCCACCTCTACTTGATCCCGAGCTACCCTTTTTTTTGTAATTTGCCTTCTTCTCAAAGTGAGTGGGGGACACGTTCCACTTAGTCTGCTAGCCTGGTTCATTGAGGTTTTATTTTCCCGCATTTTTTAGTGGCTAAATGCATGTAGTTACTCTTGGACTTTGGGGCAAATGAGAGATACAGAATTATTTAAAAGAAATGAAAAACAACTACTGCTTTTAAATTTCTGGATATTTGCCTCAGTGACTTAAATCTTCCAAGTTATTCTTCATTTTAAAGACATGGTGGAGGGTGGAAAACAAAAAACCAGAAGGATTCAGTGAACACAGACTCGCCAAAAAGCATCTAGCATCGGAAGTGGTGGTTCCTGCTGGCTGTGGGAAGGCTGGGGAGGCTCTACGATGATTGGGTTGAATCGTACGGAATTGCCATTTTTTTTTTGGTCAAGAACGGCGGTGTTTTGGCGATTTCATATGGTCCGATGTAACGGTTTCCCGACTCCGGCGCTCTGTCCTGGACTCACCTGAGCCTTCTTCTCCACTTTTTTTTTTTTTTTTAAATTCACAGTGAACTTGATGTACTTTGCTGTTTTTACTCTGGGAATTTCTTCACTAAAGTCCTTTTGTATTGCCGGTAGGCACCTCTCTGGAGCACCCATGGTGTGGGCTCTGGGTGCATGTGGCATGGGACTCCAGGGCAGGGAGACTGCCCAGGGGAGAGGCCTGTGCTGGCTTCCTGGCCACCCCTTGCACATGCTGGGGCCACTGGACCTGGAGGCACCGTTTAAACTGGATGTCTCCCTGAGGACCCTCAGCAGCAGGCAGGGCGCTACCCGGTAAAATGGTGCAAGTCTCTCTGAACAGAGCCTGGGAGCACTGGGCTCCAGTGCTTTCACTAGCCTCACTGGGAAGGCCCACTGGGGTGACAGAGGCTCCCCTGGGCTCTTGGGGACCAGAGCCAGCATGCTGTGGGTGGCCCAGTTATCTGGGCAGCGACGATGTCCTGATGAGCAGGGCCATGTGGACCCTTCTGGGACAGGCTCTTTGGACCTGCCCACGCTGGATTCCTCCACGCAGTTTGTCATTGTTGGTACGGAGTCTAGACTGGTCTCTTCTTTTAAAATGTATCTGAAATCAGCTGCCCCTTTTCCATTTTTGAACGAATATCCAGGTTGGCCCTGTTGGTGTACATTTCTGGCTAATGCATGCTTGTTAGTAAAGTCATACTTTTTCCTCAAGGTTTTGTACAGAGCCCAGGTTTCTTCTGAGAGAAAAAAATATCTGTAAATCACTCATGATTCTGTTTATAGATGGCGACTTTTGGAGCTTTCCTCCACAAAGGGGCTTTCTGCAGGAACTACTTCAATCTGCTGGATATGCTGGTGGTTGGGGTGTCCCTGGTATCATTTGGGATCCAGTAAGTATATTCTGGGGTGGATGTGGGAGTGTGGGCACAAGACTCTTGGGCAGGATGGTTAATGTGGGGAAGTTTAACATAATTCATAAAGGCTAGGCATCACTTTAACAATTACATTTAGTCATCCGGGAAGCCTTGGTTTGTGCGCATGCCGGAAAGCGTTGGGACAGTTCACCATTTCCCCTGTTTCTCCTCTCCATGCCCCATGCCAGGCTGGGTTTATTACTCTCTGTGATCCTGACTCTCAATAGAGAAGTCTTGACTGGGAGAGAAGGAAGCCAGGTTCTAGTTAGGATTCATCCAGGATCTCAATCCTCATTCAGGGTTGGCGGCAGGGGATGGGATCCGGGTGACCCTTTCAGCTTGGCTATTGAAGGCTACTTCCCTCGATCGCCAGGATATATCAGCTTCCATGACCTCTTCCTCCCGGCTTCTACAGTTTTCAGCTAGGAGGTGGCGGAGGCCATAAGTTAGGGCCCTAGTGATGCCCCAGTGGCACGGTGCCTGCCGGCCCTACCTGGGGGTCTGGGGCAGAGGCTCCAGTGGGAGCATCCCGCAGTGGCCTTGCTTCCCAGCTGACTTACAAGCACGTGCGCTCAGGTGCTGGCCATCAGTAACCCATATGAGAACATGTGCTCACCTACGACCTCTGAGCTCAAGTTCCATGGACAGGCTGCCTCCCCCTCAGAAGGCCAAGGACCCCTGCCTGAGACAGCCCTCTGTGTTAGTCGCCGCTGCCCGGAGGGAGGGAGCCAGGAGTTGCAGCTGGAGGGGACATTCTCAGAGCATCTTTGCAGCTCCCATAAATTCCCAGCTGCGCCGGCCCTCTCCCCCTGCAGCCCTTGCCACTGCCTCCCGAGTGTGTGTGCCGGCCACCTGAGGGGCCCGGTCTGCTGAATGGGCCTTCCTAGTGCTGCTCCCTCTGCCTGGAACCCCTTCCCCCTTAGGCTAGCTAACCTGCCCCTCCCCCCGGGACTCCACCTCCCAGGTTCCCCTGGGACATGCTCTCCTGGCAGCCCGTCCTGCACCCCCTCCACTGTCCGTTCCCCCACACAGGTGGTGATTGCGTCTCTCCCACCCAACAGCAAACTCCTTGGAGGCTGGAGAAGCCCCACTCAGAGCAGGTCTCCCCACTTAGAAAGCAAACCCCACCAAACAAAATCGCAGCCTAAAAGCCAAGTACTACCTAGAGTTTACATCGAGTGAAAAGAACAAAGCGAATTCCTAACTCATGCCTCTGCTGCGTTAACTGGGCACCCAAGTCAGGCCCTCTCTGAGTGCCCATGGGCCTGGCCCAGGAAGGGCTCCGGAGGGTGGACAGGACGGGGAAAGACCTGCACACGTGTGTGTGTGTGTGTGTGTGTGTGTGTGTGTGTGTGTGTGTGTCTCTCTCTCTCTCTCTCTTTCTCTCTCTCTCTCTCTTTCTCTCACGGCCGGAGGTGAGCTCAGCTCCACACAGGCAGTGGTCCTGCAGTGAAGACCGCCTGAAATAATTTCAGAGTATTTTATCTGACTGTAATATATTCTGCCTTCATTCTGTGCTCTTTCCTTAGATCCAGTGCCATCTCCGTTGTGAAGATTCTGAGGGTCTTAAGGGTCCTGCGACCGCTCAGGGCGATCAACAGAGCAAAAGGACTTAAGGTTTGGGTTTCTGCCCTCCGGTCCAGGCTACTTTGGTTGGGGGCCAGAGCTGGGCTGAGGCTTGATGGGTTTTATATTGTTATATGTTTGGAAAGGATATTTCTAACCAGCAACACTGCCTCTGGCAAGTGCTGAAGGCATTTTACAAATGATTTTCTTTATCTTTGTTAATTTATTTTTCTTAACGTGATTACTGTTTATCACTTTTAAAAATTATAATATTTCCTTGGGTTTATTTTGGTCTTTAAATCTCTTCGCATACAGGTCGTATAAAAGGTCTGAGGTTTTGCATTTTCCTGAGTCCATGTATGGGGGGCCAGGGTCCGTGGGGACCTGTGTGCCAGGCAGTGCTGCACCCCCTAGCATTTCTTCGGACTAAGCCGCTTTGGAAGAGACCAGGGAGGGGCTGGTCTACAGGGGTGCTTCTCCCAGGTGGCCATGATGCACCAGGCGTAGCTCGCTACAGATAACTACCTGAAAAACAAGTGCAAGGGAATGCAAATTTGGAAAATCATATAAAAATGCACATAAACATTAGAAACTCTTGGCCGGTGTTAGGTCACCCAGAGGCTGAAACCACAGAGGCAGGTAAACCCCCTCTGCCTTCCCCTGGCTCCTCTCTCCCCAGCACGTGGTCCAGTGTGTCTTCGTGGCCATCCGGACCATTGGCAACATCATGATTGTCACCACCCTTCTCCAGTTCATGTTTGCCTGCATCGGGGTCCAGTTGTTCAAGGTACGGGGAATGTGCCTTCTGGCATGAAGCCCAGCCAATTGCTTTGCAGGGAGCTTGCATTTGACTGCCTGTCTGTTTTATATGTAGGGAAAGTTCTATCGCTGTACAGATGAAGCCAAAAGTAACCCCGAAGAGTGCAGGTGAGTGTCCTGAACACGAGAGTGGGGAATGAGGAAGAACAGATAGAAAAATTTCAAGGATCTGCTTGTGCTAACATTTCAGAAGTTTTCATCATGGACTGCAAGAAGCTTGTGTGCTCAGCTCATGGCTGGAGAGATGGAGATGATGGTGGTTTTATTTGAAGTGACATTCACATATCACAAAAGTAATCATTTTAAACTGTGCAATTCAGTGGCGTTTAGTACAATCACATTGTGGTACAAGCATGGCCTTGGTCTAGTTCTAAACCTTTGTCACCCCCGAAAGAATGGATAGATGGCTTTTGATGTTTACCATAGAGTCTCTAAATGGGGAGAAGGAGTGCACTAAAGCCTAAAATAACAATTATGAACTGCCCCAGAGAGCCCTTCCCTCCAGCCACGTGGATAATTTTTCCCCACACCAGAACTCTGAAGCTCAACTCCCTGGCATTCAGGAGCTGGCTGGCCCCTTCCGACAGGTTCTCCAGGCTACGTTTCTCCCCTTGCTCCTGGCAGCCACATTTTGGACATATTTTTCTTTACAAGAACGGACAGGGGAGAGACAAGGTGGGAAACACCTGTGTCTCTTATCCCAAGATGTCCAGAACATGAAGGCAGGCACAAAACCACTGCCCAGAGTTGTAAGACCGTGTGGTAGTCTGTGTTTCTCCCCATCCTTTGGGGATGGCACCACTGAGGTCGGGCTGCTTGCACAGCTTGCATGTATTTGGGGTTTCTTTCCACCAGAAGGTGCAGTCAGAGTGTGCTGGCTGCGCGTGACTGTATGTGCACCTCCAGGGCCGCCATCTGTGCAGGCTGGGGGGCAGGGGACGCCCCCTGCTGTTGAGCGGCAGGGCAGCAGGCGGAAGACCCCTTCTCTTCTCTCACTGAGCCTCTGCTTCCCTGTGACATAAAGACATGGCCCCTTTCCAGAAATGAAATTCAATGACAAATTCTGTGTACCAGAAATTACAGAATTATTTTAGAAAGAAAACTGGGAATATTTTTAGTACAGAACGAACGTCTTTGAGGACAACCAAAATGCAGTTAAGAGGATACCTGGGCTTGTTTCCCAGAGCTTCCAGAATTCTCCAGGTCAGAGCTTCTGATCCTTCAGTGTATGCTCTGAGGCCCTTGTATATGAGAGGTGTTTATCATTCGGTAGGTTTCATTTCTTATCAGGTGTATGCTGGCTGTCTGCCTAGTTGTTCTGGAGGATGCTCATTAAACTAGTAGGTACTTGATTATTGGGACCTTAGGTAGATTTAAATGCAGGGCACGAGGAGGACAAACTCACATGGTGCTCAGCTGTGGGGCCTGGATGTGGGCTTGGGGCAGCTGTGACTGATTGCATGTCAAGCCAGGACGACCCACACTTCCTTTCCTCTCTAGGGGGCTTTTCATCCTCTACAAGGATGGGGATGTTGATAACCCTGTGGTCCGTGAGAGGATCTGGCAAAATAGTGATTTCAACTTTGACAACGTCCTTTCTGCTATGATGGCGCTGTTCACGGTCTCCACATTTGAGGGCTGGCCTGCGTAAGTATAGAGAACATCTTGAGAGTGTCCCAAGCCAGCCAGCCAGCCAGCCATCCATCCATCCATCCATCCATCCATCCATTCATTCATTCCATCTTCATTCCTAGTTCAAACATGTGCCAGACATGGATGGCTGCCACCGTGCCGTGTCTTTGACCCACTCACTCATTCATAAGAGGTGCTTTTGGTACCGGCCTCATGCACCATGCCGTGTCAAGCACTGTGGTAGAAATGGTTGTCTCGACATGTTCCTCCCTTTGAGGCCCAAACTGAGTCAGAGTCTCAGGCAGTTAGACCAGGCAGGAGGGTCTGTTGCATCAGAGATGTGCAGAGTAGGGTTCTGAAGAATGGCTAGGATTCTGATGAGTAAAGTTTAAAAAAAAAAAATCCAGGAAGAAGGGAAAAGGTAGACTAAAAGGAACGTCTCTTGCTCCTTTGTTACTCTGTGCTCTGATGCCCACGCTGGCTCCCACCACCTGAATGGACATGCGTGCACGGCTTCCGATGTCAAGTTGCCACACCCAGAGGAACTGCAAAAGGTGGACGGGCTGGTTCTCCGGGGCCTGGCAGAACTCTCTGGATGCACGGGAGAGTCGGAGTTACTGACAGGAGATCCTGTGCAGTGTGAGGATAGTTGGGTGGGGCTTGTTCATTAGGGAATTGGTCTGGGGAGCAGAGAGGCAGGAACGAGCCCCTTCACTCTGGGGGAAGCACTGGCTGCAGTCTTGGGTTTTCAGCCATGTGCTTTAGTTAACCAGGGTGGCAGCCGAGGGGAAACCACTGGACTTGGGCCTTGGCGCTCAGAGCAGCAGGGCTTGTCTCCTGGCTCTGCCCCCAAGGAGTGTGACTTTGGTTACTTAGATCCCTCCCTGAGTTTCCATGTGTTGGGGATGACTGTAATGTCTGCTTTTCTAGATGGATGGGAAAGTGGCTAGCACAGTGCACCATGGGGTGGGTGCCTTGGCAGTGCTGAATCTACATCAATATGGGGATAAATTTAACTTGGGGATGTTACAGTAATTCCCCCCCCGCCTCCTGTTGAGAGTTCTGCTTAGAGTATATTTAATTTCTGTGTATATTTCAGTTTGGGGAACCTCTCTTAGTTCTTTGGAAATCCCGGGTTGCTTGCTTATTCTCTTCATTGGCATATGTACAGTTTTCAGTTCCACAAATGTCTTACACGTGGTGTCCTTCCTCTCTCCCAACCAGGAGAAAGGAGCATTGTTGAATGGCTGTGAAATCTTTTGTTTTTCAGCCCTCAAAATATCAATCCCCAAATGCATCTCAGGTGTTCCCTCTCCAGGGTGCTGGACCAACTGGGCCTAATGCCAGCCAAGGAGGGCGCCTCAGAGACCTGTGTGCGTCCAGGGCCTTGGTTGGGCTCCCGGGGAGGGCTCTGACGGGCAGGGCCCACGGAGGCAGTCAGAAGAGGCGCCATGGTTGGGCTGCTTGGGCTGAGCGGGGGACAGGACTCACCTGGTCCTTCTGTTCTCCAGGTTGCTGTATAAAGCCATCGACTCAAATGGAGAGAATGTGGGCCCCGTCTACAACCACCGCGTGGAGATCTCCATTTTCTTCATTATCTACATCATCATCGTTGCTTTCTTCATGATGAACATCTTTGTGGGCTTCGTCATCGTCACATTTCAGGAGCAGGGAGAGAAAGAGTATAAGAACTGTGAGCTGGACAAAAATCAGGTTAAAGTCACACACTGTTTGGGCTTCTGTCCCTTGAGCAAGAGAGGAGTGGCTTGTCTTTTGCCAGCTTCCTCCATGCCCAGAGAAGGGCGTGCACCTGCTGGCTGTCCTGGGGCTCAGGCCCAGTTCACAGCACCCTCTCGGCCAGTTTGGGTCCTTGCTGGGAAGAGTGAGCTTCCCAGATACAGACTAGACCTTGTCATTGTGATTCACCCCACCCTGCAGATGAGAAGTCAAAGAACGTTTAGGCCACCTTCTGCGGGTGTGACTGGCTAGTGATGGCTCAGAATCTTGGTGGGGGGATGTGGCCAGGGGCCAGAAAGTACCCGCTGCCCCTCCCACTGTCCTTACGGGGGATCGTGTCTGATGATCTCCTCAACCTCAGCACTGTTGACGTTTTAGGCTAGATAATTCTTTGTTGTGCTTTTGTAGGATGTTCAGTAGAATCCCTTGCCCTATACCCCCTCGATTCCAGTAGCAACCCACCGCCCTGGGTTTTGACAACCAAAAGACCTCTCTGGACATTGCCTAATGTCCCCTGCTTGAAAAACCATTGACTTAGGAAGAAGTAACCTATCCCACTGCAGGGAAAGTTACTAATGTTAAACCTGGGTCCAAGATTGCACTGGTGTCACTCTCTCGTAATCTACTGCCTTGTTTGAACCAGTCTCATAGCAGCAAAGGCCTTTGACTGTGATTGCATGAGGATGTGAGGGGGTCAGGAGAACTCCTCTCTGGGCTTGCTCCCTTCTCTCTAGATTGAGGGCACCCAGGAGTTGTTGTTAGAGGCCCCTTCCTGCCCTAACAGATGGCAAGATGGAGAATCTGTTCTGGGAGTACCCCTGGGCCCTGGCTCGGTAGCACCCCTGTTTGATGATGACATAAGGAGTGGGGGTCATCTGCCAGTCTGGGCTTCCTGAGGGGAAGTGGCCGTGGTGGGGCAGTCTGTCTTGGGCTGCAGCTGTGCCCACTGGGGTGGTAAGGACAGGGCCAGCTGGGTTTGTAGGAAGATGTTGCTTTGAGTTGTCAGGGAACCGCTTCAGATCCTATCAGTGTCAGCAGGAAGCCTGGCACAGCTCTTCATCGCACCCCTCCCCCCCCCGCCACACCTCCCGGCCCCCGGAAGAAGACTATCAGGGCAAGGCCCAGACTGGCCAGGGAGCAGAGCCTGAGCTACCATTGTGTCATCTCTTGAGGTCCAGAACAGGTTCGAATTGGGGCGGGGTGGGGGGTGTCCCTGGACTCAGTGTTTGAGGTCACAGCAGGGCCAGATCCTGATTGGAGGGAGCCTGTCTGGAGTCAGAAGCCAGGGTCAAAGCAGGAGACTAGGAGTCAGTCTGGGTCTAGGAGCAAGTGGGGCCATTGGCTGAGCCGAAGGGGCTGGAGGCTCCCGCTGGCCTGCAAAGGGTGGACCAACCTCAGCCCCAGAGTGAGTGGGAGGGACAGTGCTCTGGCCATCGTGACTACCACAAGCTCCTGAGTCTCAGAAGGTCCCAGGGAGACACACAGCTAGTTCACCATTAGACACGTGTGGTTAATACCATCTGGCTCCCAAGAGGTGTCTCATGTGGATCGAGTCTTGGGGAGTGAGACCAGGCCCTTGGGCTCTGGAGGCTTTCTGTGCCTCTCGTTCCCTGGCTTCCTTTCCTCGAGGTGGCCCCAGGCAGAACTGCAGGCATAACGCCCCAGCGTAGAGGAAAGGCAGGTCCTCAGGCAAGGCACTTCCCAGTCTGGACCTCTGTTTTAATAAGGAAAATGGAAGCACACTGGGTGCTCCGCTTACCCCGCCCCCCCCCCCCCCCGGGTTGCTGTGAGGAACCGATGAGCTGGCGGAGGTAGGGGCCTGTGGCCGGTGATGTGGTGTGGTGCCTGTGGGGCTTGCTGTAGTGGCTTCCTCTGGTCCACGGTCTCTCGCGGTGGGTGTGCCCCTTCAGAGCAGACGAGACCGGTGTCCTCCTCCCACGGGTGTGCTCAGGACCCCTCCTTGCTCTTTTCTGCCGTTGCAGCGTCAGTGTGTTGAATACGCCTTGAAAGCACGTCCCTTGCGGAGATACATCCCCAAAAACCCCTACCAGTACAAGTTCTGGTACGTGGTGAACTCCTCGCCTTTCGAATACATGATGTTTGTCCTCATCATGCTCAACACACTCTGCTTGGCCATGCAGGTAAAAATGGAGACAGCCGTGGGGATCACGTCTGGGCCTTCTGCACAGCCCCCTGCCCCAAATTCTGAGGGCAGAGTGCCGCCCCCTCACAAGAGAATGCGTTTGATTTTCTGATGAGTCTGGGCTGTAGTTTGGCCAGAGTCCCATTCTGGCTAACAGTTCTCACGGTAGGCGTTTAAGGTGGCTCTTTTGTTTTAAGAGACTGCCTGTACAGCGTGACCATAGGTAACATTTCCATGGGGCCTAAGCCTGGCATTCAATTCTACGAACACTTAACTGGGGGCCCCTGAGGCCAGGGAGCGGTTAAGGACTAAAGCTTGGTCCGTGTGGAGTGGGGCAGACAGGCATTGCAATCCTGCCTTTACTCCTTACCAGCTGGGCAAGGCAATTTAAATCCCCTGAGCCTTGCTTTCTTCACTGGCAAAATGGGAAATCTATCATACCTATTATCAGAGGTAAGGTTTGCACTGGATAATTCACATCAGGCCCTTGGCGCTGGGCCCATCACAGAGTAAACACCCAATGTTGAAAAACAAAACATAAGTCACATTCCTGTCTTCAAGGAGCTCTTAGAATGGTTAGAATGGTGGTGGAGAATCTTCTAGGTCATGGAGGAGAGTTTAGCTTGCAAAATAGCTACTTCTTGCTACCCTGGGGGCAAGGCATTGACTTCCTTCAGTTGGCCAAGTTGGTATTACAACAGTGAGCATTTCCAGCAGTTATACTGTGAAGTAGATACTGCCCTAGGACAGAAGCAAAGGCCAAGGTCTAGATCCGCTTTCCACACTGACTTTAAGAACTTAAGCAAATCAAACCAACTCCCAGTGCTGTCTGGAAAATGGGTCTAAAAGCCACCAGGGATACATTCTCTGGCGTGTTTTTTAAATTTAAGAAGTCTTTATGAATGACCAGGACCCCATGCTGATGTAGGGGAAAAGTGTGAGGTCAAGATGTTATTGCCTTTTATTGAACGTGGACCTAAATGGCATCAAATTTATCCCCAGCCAAATCCTGTCTTTAGTCATAAGCATTTGGGTGGGTTCTGCCTTGTGCCTGGGTCAAGGCCCTGAATAGAAATCCTGGGAGGAAGGGTGGGTTCCCTTCATCCTGAGCAGAGGAAATGGATGTCTTCCCCTTCATCTTCCAATCATCCTCATTCGTCAAGGCCCCCCTGTGCTTTGTGGTGAGTTAACCATGTGCCGTTGGAACCAGTGGAGGCTGCCTCCATGTCCAAGCAGAGGGTGGATGCCTGCAGGCAGCAGGGGGCTGGGGAGCCTCCTTTTGTGAGGCTGGCTGGGCTGGGCCCCTGAGAACCATGCCTCTGCCTTTGTCCACAGCACTACGAGCAGTCCAAGATGTTTAATGACGCCATGGACATTCTGAACATGGTCTTCACTGGGGTGTTCACCGTCGAGATGGTTTTGAAAGTCATCGCATTTAAACCTAAGGTGAGTCTCTGAGCCCACTTCTCAAAGGCTGTTGCTGAATCACTCCAGAGGAGCACACGCTTCCTGTTCGTCTTGTGTTACCGAGTACGCTGAATTGTTGGGGCCGATAACTGGGTTATCACCTGAGAACATTCAAATCTGATTAGGGCATCTGGGTACATATGGGAAAACAAAACTACAAAACAAAACCTCATGAAAAGAATTCTGAGAAAAAGAAGAAGGGGGGACAGAATTGGGAATTTGTAGAATAGAGATGGTTTTGAAACCGGGTTTTCTCTGTAAAAGAGCCCATCATGCTGTCTCAGGGAAACTGGCCTTATTGCTCTAGCATTAGAGAAACTGTTTTAACAGAACCCATCAGAAAGAATTCACCCTTGATTTGACTCTTAGGTTTCCAGGAGAAAGACCTTGGTTTTATTTGTCCTTGGTCTACAGCCTCTTTTTCACCTTTTATGGAAAGTTCTACACCATTTGGAGAGCGCTTACCGTTTATTTGACTTAGAAAAATGTTGCTTGACTTTAAGACAAAACAAGACATGAAATTTGTTAAACGCTGTTGGACTAGTCAGCATATCGTGTCGCCTTTGGGAGGGAGCAGATCCAGCCCCACTGTTATCAGCGTCTGTGGTGGAAGAGGCTGACAGAACAGTGTCTAAGAGCACACCCAACTCTGGATCCAAATCCATACTCCCCACTTGCTGACGCGAGTGAGTTCCTTAACGTTCCTTAACATTTTCCTCACCCACAAAATGAAGACACTACCAGCTCTGTTTCACAAGGTGGTTGGGAGGGGTAAAGATTCATTATCTGTGCCATGCTTAGAAGAGTGCCTGGCATGTGGTAACATGCTGTCATGTGTCAGTACTCTGACCGTGACAGCCACCACCATCATCATCAAGTCATGATGGCCCCCTCATTCTAAACTGTAGATAGAGGAGCAAATCCGGGCTGAGCTGGGGGACGTTGGACCCTCGGCTTCTTTGCTAGCAAAGCCCCAAACTCTCAGTATGAGGCAGTGACAGAATCTGGGGACCCGGTTGTCGGTTCGTCTGGGCGTAAGACACCTTACGCCTAAAACACTGGTTTTACTGAGACTTGGATTATGATATGATCATTTCACATACTCCATATTTCCTTGGAATTCTAATCCAAAACTGTTCCTTTCTTTAATTTGAATTAATTTTTATGCAATCTTTATCAGATCTTTGTGGACCAAAAAGAAAGGACACTTGTAAGTGATCACTTGGGGTGATTGCAGCGGGGTCAAATTTGGCACCTTATGCATGGCCAGATGTTATGTACTGTGACTTGTCCATATCTACATACATAAACATCTCCTCCTCTTTCAAATTCATCTTAATTTCCTTTGAGAGTTTTGGTTTGCTTCCCTGTCACCTTTACTTCTCTGAACGATAGTTGTCTGGATTGATGAAAAAGGTTGCCAAGTAAGAACATCAAAAGGACTTGAGAGAGACAACATGGAACCTACCCACTGAACATTTCTAGATCCCCTTGCCTTGTCTTCCCTTGCCTGGTGATTAAGCTCTGAAATGTTTCAGAGCTTGCTCTGGGCTGAAGAGAAGACACACTCGCCCATGGCATGTGTGCGTGAGAGTGCGTGTGTGTCCGTGTGTGAACGCGCACCCGCTAGCGGGCCCATGCACCAAAGGGCTCATATACCCCTCTGCCCAGTAAACCACTGATATCAAACCTGGGAGGAGGGTTTTGGTGGTATGTGATCAAACTGGTGATATCAGGAGGGAAATGAGTAGCTAATTTTTAATCAGTACTGATTAATCAGAGTTTTAAAATGAGTGATTTCCGCTAGAAATTGTGCTGCTTTGTTGTTTTGCCCAGCAAGATATTTCCGTAGCATGAAACAGCAATAGGAGCATCTCTGTGCTTGAGGAGTGCTATTTCTGCGCTCACCAAAGCCAGGATAGACAGATTTTGTGTTGAGGATGGGGAGAGAATCAGTTCACCAAGAAATAAAGCCCTTCACGTATTGCATGGAGCACTGGGTGTTATATGCAAACAGTGAATCATGGAACACTACATCAAAAACTAACGATGTAATGAATGGTGACTAACATGACATAATAGAATAAAATTAAAAAAAAAAAAGAAACAAAGCCCTTCTTAAAATGCTCCCTGACTTTTCCTTGTTTTTCTCTTCTGGGTTGACAAAGCAAGCCCAGGGGAGTAGGCTTTGACTAAGAAGCCGGTGAGACCCCTCCTCTCTCATCAGAGGGAAGTCGGGCTGAGGAACAAGGTCATAGAGGCTGCCAAAGGGAGAGTGTTCCAGGAGATGGCCGCATGGGACAGAGGGCCGTGTGGGAACCCTAGCCTGTGGGTCTCCTCTCAGGAAAGCCTTTGTCTCTGTGAGGAGTTGGTTACAGGGCCCTTTGGGGCAGTGTTCTCCACAGTGAGGGGCACACCTTCTAGGAAAACTTGCCAGCATCTGTCAGGAGAGATGGGGTTGCTGCTGTCCTGGGATTCAGATACAGAAAGTGAAGTTGGACAAAATCCTTCCTGAAGGATGGGAAGGCACTGTGAGGAGGATGGGTTAAAAGAAGTCGGGAAACCTGACCGTGGGGACTTCTGTATTCAAGAACCTGCCAGAGAGTTGGGGCCTGCCAAGAGCACACATTTAGGGAGAAGTTGTTCGAGGACTCAGCAGGTCAGGTCATCCCGCCTCCATAAGCAGGGAGGGGAGGGTTGAGGTGGAGAGGCAGAGGTAGGAAACCCAGAGTTGGGGAGCTGCCCTGGCCGGGGAAGCAGGCTCACCGAATGGGAAGAGCTGTTCTGAGCATTGGTTCTAGGCAAGAGTGCAAGGTGGCAAGAAACCAAAAAGCAGAATTAGGGGAAAGCAAGGAGGCCGTTGAGTGTATTACATCTACTCCCCAAGGGAAAACCCACCATCTGGCATTGACCTTGCATACTCTAGATTGTGCTTTTGACTGGGAGGTGACTGTGCCATCCTAGGCTTTTAAAAGGGATGTCCTAACTGAAGTAAGATAAGCCCACTTCCCTGTCCTTTCCCTCTGGTACTCCCAGGGGAAGCCACTGGACGTGTCCGATGAATTCTCTTGCTCCAAGGAGGGAAACTGAAGAAGAAGGGCCTTCCCCAAAGTACTGTCTCCTGCAGGAATAAAGAGCACTTCCAGTTTGCTGGGGCTCCCTCTTTGTGCTTCTGGATGTCACCTGCCTTTGTCCAGCTTAGCTGCCTCGGCCGCAGGCTTTTCCCCGAAGAGCCACGCTTGGTTCCCAGGTCTGCATTTTGATCTTGGTTCTACCTCGAAAATGACTAATTTGTACTCCTGGCCACTTGGGCTTTGGAGAAGTAAAGGGTAGTTGGGTTTGGGGGAAGAGGAAAGTATTTTGGAGCTGTTCTCCTCTGCCAGTGCAGAGCCGCTGCACCATGGACACCAGCATTGGTACCACCAGCCTCCTGGGATGGCATTCCCTGTCCCAGGGCCCCTGGCAGGAATACAGGCTCTTAACAAAGTGTTAACAATCTCTTTGGAGGACACCCTCCATCTCCTAGAAAGAACATTTGATAGTCTTTACAGTTTGTCAGTGACCACATCTCTTTTAGGTGATCTATTTTAATGCCAAATAATACTTGAGACCAAACATTCTTCTCCTTAGCTAGAACGTTGCGCCAGACCTCGTGGGCTCAGCCTGTGTCTTCGATGTCAGTTTCTCAGGGTGCTCTCCTGGTCCCCTTCTCCCATGGAAAATGCTTTACAGGCCCAGAGCTTCTCCGGCCATCCATGTCATCCAGACCTCTCCTGCCCCTCCTTTCCCTGGACTGCTAAATTTCCCCCATCCCTCACCCCCGCCCAGCCCCTCTCTGCTCATCTTCCACAACGAAACTCTGGTACCAGCCACCTGTTGCCTGAGCAAAAAAACAAACAAACAAACAAAAAAACCACACCTTAGAATTTTCTTAGTCTCATGTTCAAAGTCCTCCACCAAACCTTGGCCCATTTGCACTTCCGCCTTGCTTCCCCTGTCATTCCTTCTACACTCCCCACCCCTAGCTGTTAAGCCAAACCTTTCCATGGCATGGGCTTCTGTATATGGAAGCCCTTCTTTTGCCTTGTTATTGCTTGAGGCCCGTATGAAATGTGGGTTCCTCTGTGACATCCTCCCCCCTACCAGTTCAGCCAAAGTCTGTTCTTCCCTTCACCTGCGTGTCCACTAAATGCTTACTGGGCGATGTCATGATCAATACTTCTTTGGATCTCTCTGTTAACTGCTGAGAGGCTGCTTGAGGTCACAGGCTGGGTCTCCTGTGTCCCACACAATGCCTGTTCCATGCTGGCCACTCAGTAAGGGTGGGTGGGATGAAGAAAGGCATAAACAGATGAGCCTGTAGGTGCAGCCTCTTGACATGAGATGGTACGCAGGGTATTTTCTGTCACGGGATATTTGATCGGAGTAGAGTGGCCAAAGGTGAATGCTTTCCTGTAAGCCCCCACTTGACCTCTGGAAAGGCTTGTGCTAGTTAGAAAGCTGTCAGTTATGGTGTCTGCTGAAATCTGGTGCTGTGGGTCATCTCTTGGGTCCAGCACTGCCCAAACAGTCCCCAGCAGAAATTGCTGAGTGACCTGGCTGCCATGGTAAACCACAAAACCGGGTGATTTGTGTGGGCTCCTTCAGATCTGCAGATGAGACGGACTCCAGGCAGCAAAAAGAACCCAGACTCAGGCTGCTTCTCTTGTTTCTGTTCCACACACGTTACCCCCTGCCAACACGTTACCCCTCCACACACACACATGCACACGCACACGTGTGCCACACCTGTGCGCTATATCCCGGCTGGAGTTCCAGCTCTGCTTCCAGGACCCCATAGTCAGGAGCGACATGGACAGACATCTGTCTGACAGACTCTCAGAGTTCTTGGAAATCTTGAAAGTTCCTGGCCCTAATGCCCACATGAGTCTGCTTTATGATTTAAAATTTCTGAGTCAGACATGTTTCTGAATAATAGAGATTATCACATGTGGCTGACTTGCGTGGTCTTTCCAAGCCTGTAGGACTGGACAAAAAATAAGAGTTGACTCTGGCTGAGTGCTAGGGACTGCTGGTTCCACTTGAGGGGCCCTGGCCTGGGCATTCAGTGGCAGGAGAACCTGTCATTTTTGGCCAAGAGAAGAGGGCACGGGGATGGGTCCTCTGCCAGAAGCCCTTTGTCTCATCTTCTGGTTGCCCAGACACTGTGGTGACTTTGGTGGGAAAAGGGTGGGGGACTGAGTCATGCTCATTCGACAGTGATTTGATCACATAGGAGGCTACTAAACAGGGAATCAGATGTGGGGAGAAAGAGAGCCTGGCATTTTCTGCCTCTGCTGGCCCCCTGGCATAGCCACCTTGTCTGAGTTTGTGATTCCAGCCACCTGCATCAGCTCGAGCCTCCCGTTGTCTGCATTAGGGGTAGGTACCTTCAGTCCAGGAGTCCTCTAGGACTTGGGCACAATTTGTGAGTGTGCGGGATCTTCTGAAGAGAGTTGATGAGATTGCCAAAATGTTCAAGGACCCCAAATGGGAAGCCCCTATTGCATTGGTTTAAGGTGATTTCATGTACCACAGTGGACCAGAATGGGCCAGTTGGAGGATAGTGTGTAGGCCAATGGGAATGATTCAGAGGTAAGTACTGATAATTCTGGAAAAGCGGGGGAGGAGCTATTCAGGAATAAAGTCCAAAGTGGGGGCACAGGTGGTGGCCTTGGCCTCAGGTGAACAGCCTACTGTAGTGGGAGGAGTAGCACGTGGGGTACAGCTGTGGGCGGGGGCTGGTCTTGTGCCTGGACAGGAGAGGAGGAGGAACTCAGGGTCTTCAGCTGCTCTCCATACCCCGGAGGCCTGACTGTTACAGGCGCCCAGCTGTCTCAGTGAGGCATCAGCTCCTCTCTAGGGGAGATGGGAACGATCACCATACTCTCCTTAGCTTTGGAGATGCTGTTAAATCCAGGAAGGGAAGGCTCTGGTCCTCAGAGTAGCTTGTGGCACGGCTGCTGGTCAAATGCCTGTTTGTCACCTATCCACACAATGTAAATAAGGGACCCCGGCACCCCCACGGCAGCGCTTAGCAATTGACCCAAGTGACTTTTGTGTTAGGAGGTCTTCTCTGTGAAGGAAGTGATGCGCTCCTTTGGGTCCAGGCGCAAGCTTTTTGTGTCCTGGCCAGCCAGCATGACCAGCATGCTCAGTGGCTCTAGTCTAGCCCTCAGAGTGGCTGGCCTTGCCCCAGTCTGCCAGCCAAGAATCACGGAGCATTGGGAAGAAAAGCTAGAAGGTGCAAAACCTGGTGTTCATTAAGACTTGACTTGTATACACAGGTCGGCGGGGTTGATGCAGGCAGACTCCCTTTACTTGTTGGAGGCCTGAGATGAGGGGTCTGGGACGATGCCAGTCAGTGAGGCAACGTGTGACAGAGAAGGGGAGGGGAGAGGTGAAGTGTGGGTGAGAGGTCATGGCAGATTGGGTGGGAAAATCTTACATCATTTAACATGAAATTTTTTAAAAGTTCAAACCATCAATTAGTGTCCTAGCTCCCCCGTAATTGTACTTGGAGTGCGTGATCAACAGTAACTAGAACAAACAGCCCCACTCCAGTTATTAGGATTGCCAACACGTGCACACTTTCTATCGTGTCATCAAAGGCTGGGGCTCAGCAGTGGCTTTCTTGGGGCCTGCATGTGATCACAAGTTGATGGGACCTGAAACTTCAAAGTACCTTCTGTTCTGGTTTTCTTTATCCTCACTAAGTGTACCCAGTTGTAACCATGCTTGGCCCCTTTTTATATATTTCCTACCTGGATTTTTTTTTTTTTTTATTTCCAAAACATGTTCCAACTTTTTGAAAAGACAGTTGATTTTCAGATAGAGTCGTCGACCATGCAACCAGAAGCCTCTATGCGTAGTGCCCACCCCCACCCTTCTGACCAAGAGTTTCCAGGGGCTGTCAGGAGACAGCAGGCATGAATTTAGCACCTAGAGCACATATATAAAATGTATGCCACATAGATATACATGGATTTATAAGTCACAGTCAGACATCGTGCCTTCATGCTTGTTGCAAGATAGGATCTGAATGATGGTAGGATGCTAGGTCAGTGGAAGAAAGAGACATTGCAGTGTGTGGAGCAATGGGATCAAGGCTCTGGGGTAGAGAGTGGGGCTAGTGGAGGAGGGGACGGAAGAGTCAGCATGGTACTCATCCTCAGAGGGCTTTCAGTGGGTTAAAGCTGCGGACAAAGACCCCAAATTCAGTGATGAGGACACGTGAGAGTCAGAGCAGAGATCAGGAGGATCTGAAAAGGTCCCTTCAAGGAGCTGGCATTTGGTCTGACCTTGAAGGAGGAAGTGGATTTGGGCAGAGTCTGGGTGGAGAGGGCTGGGATTGCTGTTGCAGCTGAGAGAGGGAAGAACCTGTTGGTGCTTCTGAGGGATGGCAAGGAGTCGTCCTAGCCTGGAGGGTGGAGAGAGAAGGGAGGAGAGCTGGGGTACAAGGAGGATTCTCTCGAGGCCAATGGGAGCCTTAGTGCATCATCACCCTTGACTGCTTTTCCCTTGTAAGACCTGTGTGGGCTCCCTACACAACCCCCTTACCCACAGACCAGAGTGACTACCCCCCCCAACCCCCGCCACTCTGTGCCCTGGACTGCGTGCCTCACTGGGCCTCTGTCCCAGTGAGGCCAAGGGCTCTATGAGGACAGAGCACACCTTTCATAATCCTTGCACTGGTGAGGAGGAGGAGGAGTTACTGATTTGTTTTAAGAGCACAGAAAGAAGAATGTGTGAAAGGCTGGTCACGGTGCTCTTTAATTGGGAGAAGAGAAAAAACTTGGGGAAGGAGTAGGGGGAGGGCCTGCTGACTCTTCTGTGTAAGGGTTGCAAACTTAGAAGGGTCGCACACCCTCTTGTGACGGCTTGAAGTTGTGACCCTAGTTGCACCGGCAGGGTTTTCAGAGGCGCCTCTGCCCTGCACAAACTCCGCTCAGTCTGGGGCCGCTCGGGGCCATGGGTCTGCACTGCGCGTGCGTGCGTGCGTGTGTGCGTGCGCTGTGCCTGTGTGCGTGCGTGCGCGCCCTCTCTCACACATGCAGGTGCCCCCCCAGCCTGTGTCCCTTTCCGCCAGTCGACGGTACTGTTGCCTCACTTTGGCTCTCCCACCCCACCTGGTTGCCATGGGTACGGCGGGGCCTCCGATATGTCCCTGTATGATCCGTGTGGCGTTTCCGTTTCTACGTGCTCATAAACGTCTGCCCCCTGCCTGCTCTGTCCAGGGGTATTTTAGTGACGCCTGGAACACGTTTGACTCCCTCATCGTAATCGGCAGCATTATAGACGTGGCCCTCAGCGAAGCCGACGTGAGTATGCGCCCGCCGTGGCCGCCCGCCTCGTGTCCTCTCTCTGTCTGCACATTCCGCTCCCCGCCCCGCACTGGCATCACCTGGACAAGTCACAGGCCCCAACCTCACTGGATCTAAAACCAGGAATTTCCTCACGAGAGCTGTGGACAAGAGGCTTGTGAGGGTCGAGCTTTATCCCAGGCCTTGGCAGACACAGAGCACCTTTCGGAGGGCCGACCCGGGCAGCATTTCCCGAGTCGCCGGTAGGCAGGGCAAGACAGGCGTCTCTCATTGTTTTTATTTGCTGTGTCAGCAGCAACACCCAAAGTGACGTACCTATAACATGTTTGTTTTAGGGTGATTTTTTTTTTCAAGTAGCCAGGTGGCATAATGCTAGAATGTTCCCTTTTTTATAACACTGTCCTTTTCTTCTTTTTTCCTGTTGTGCTTCCTCTCCTCTGTGGCTTCTGAATGCTTGCCCTAACAGCACTATTTCACTGATGCATGGAACACTTTTGATGCCTTAATTGTTGTTGGTAGCGTCGTTGATATTGCTATAACTGAAGTGAATGTAAGTAGCAAACTTTGTGTCCTGTGACGTGATTGTTTCTGTTAAGTCTGACACTCAGGAGCCTAGAAACCATAACCATGGGTCTCTCTACACTTAAGAAATTTGGGCATACATTTATTTTAGAAGATGAAGAACATTTTGTAGCCTCCCCTCCCCCGCCCCGCCCCCTTCCGCTGAAAGAGAGTGGAGAAGGAAATGTAGAATGGCCATTTTGGAACCAAACATTATTTTTAAAAAAGAAGTTCTTAGGAGCCTGTGAAGGGCCGGGAGTTAATTTATGTGAGAATATGAACATTAGCACGCGCTAGCTGTGTGACCTCGGCTGGGCACCTGACTGCCCTGTGCCTCAGATTTTTCCAGCTGCAAAATGGGGTTCATAATGTGTGCCCCGGTACCTACAATGGTTCTGTGAAGGGAAGGGGGGGCGGGGCTTCACAGCCACGCCATGAACACGTGACTGCTGCTGCCTTCGCCTGTATCATGTGCACCTGCCAAGTCTGACTAGTGACACTGGGGAGTACCCCGTCCTAGCTCCCCAAATGATGGTGATCTCATGGACCAGGGGAAGGAGGGCTGAGTGTGTATGATGACAGGGTGTCCATTCTCCTCTGTTGCACTTGATTGAGCCCTTTAATAAGGAAACAAGTGCAGTAGCAGTGTGGTAGATGGAGTGACCCACCCTTCCAGAACCATCCTGAGAACCCTCCTTCAAAATTAAGAGGCTCCAGAAAGGGGAGCACTGCCTCCTGTCAGTCGTTCTTGGATCTAACCCATGCCTGAACCAGAAGGACCTGAGGCCGGCACAAATGGCCCTGCTCACCTGGTCTGTCCCCAGTTTGTCACAAGTCTTAGTGGGTGTCCAGTGTGTGTGCCCCAGTTGTGTAGAGCCTGTGGCGGGGATGAATGGAGCATGGGGTGGGACTGCTGTGTGGTGTTGACTTTCTGCTCCATGTGGCCAGCCCCGCCCTCCTCCCCCACCCCTGGCTGGGAAGGGACCTCCTCGCTCTGCCTGGCTGACATCTGCAGGATTGTATGGCCCATCCTGGTGTCCAGACAGCCTGTATCAAATAAGGATGGTGCAGTCCCTCTTTATGCCACTGCTTTGGGGCCAAGCTAAGCCTAGATCACAGACCAGTGGGACAGCCACTGGCCCGGCACTCCTAAGGCCTGACAGTTCTGGTCTTGGTTCAAAACTGACTTGTTGGACCTGGGCCTCAGTTCCCCCATGGATCAGCTGGGGCGAATGATATCTGCCCTCCCTGCTTCATAGGTGTGTCGGGGGGATAAAATGATGCAGATATTTGTGAAAATACTGGTTACAAAACTTAGTATTAGGGAGATAAAGGCTATTATCCAAGTGTAGATTTTCCATGGACTAACAAGTGAAATGGACTGTAAGACATGTCCACAAGGGTGTGATGTATGCCTCACAACACCCCAATCCATGCCATGACAAGGGACTAAAGTGGTATTTTCCTAGACCCAGGAAGATACATCCCCCAACCTCCGTGAGCCCAGACTTAGATAAATTGCACTTTATGTGAAATATCCCATAACTCAGCTATAAAATTGTCATTCATAATGTGTAAATTATGCTTGGTTATAAAATAATCTAATGCTAATGGCAGAACAGCAGGACCCTAACTGGGCTGCCATGACCTCTCTCCTGAGTTTATGACCAGACATTGCCTGCTTAACCATCTCCTGACGTAAAGCACTTACAACCTTTGTCAAAGTCTGCTTACGTAAAAATTCTGGCACAGACCCTTATGTAAGTCAGAGATGGTCTGTAATGGAAATGAAAATAGAATAAACTACAGTTTCAGCAGTTCTCCCTGGAGTGCTCCGTGCTGAAAGGGATGTGCAGGTGGTGGGCATAAATGCTGGGTTTCTGGGTACCAGGATGTGGCTGAGGTTTGTTCACTGAGCCAACAAGCCAGCTCTCCAATGCCTCATTCCCCGCCCCCTCCCCCCCCCCCGCTGGCTGGCAGGGTGTGGCGCTGGTGCCCTCGGTTGACAGCACGTGCCCAGCTTTCCGGCTGCCCCTTCATATGCTGGGGGCAGGAGCACACCGTGCCTGTCGCCTCTGGCCCCACCTTGCTCATCAGTGTCGCAGACATATCCTTCTTCATGTGTCATCCGTCAGGAAAGCTGCAGTGGTACAAAAACGCACACCGAACTTTCTAGTTAGCATTTGACTTTGGGGTGTGTGCACAAAACACGCTTTCATTGGGCCCATTTCTGGCACTCAGTCAGACTTTCAAAATCACGCCGGTGACCATTCTCATACCATTTTCTAGTCAGTGACTTTTCCCCTGGTCAGATATAGCCCGAGACAAAAGCTCCCTCGGCTGGTGGCAAAACCAGCTGTCCACCCTAGGCCGGTAGAACCCCTTGGGAGGTCTCAGCAGTTCTGGGCTGGGCCGCAGTGCAGGGCAAATGCTCAAAGCCACCTTCTCATGTATTCAGTCTCTCAACACGTGTGTCCTGGGCACGTACAGTTTGCAGGCTGTGGGCACAAAGATAAAAGAGACTGGATGTCCTTAACTTCTGATGGTATAACTGTTAATGGTGGAGCTGTTAATTCCTCCAGCCCCCTCTCCCACACATGCCAGGTTCCCCAGAGGAGCAACGCACATCCTATCCCTGGGCTGGCCTTACCCCCCAAGCTCCTGGGTCAGCTCAGTTTGAACACCCTTCATCCATGTTGGCTGTTTTTTAGCTACGATAAGTTATCATTTTCTGCAATATTTAACTTGCTGTGCTCTCTCCCCCAACCTCTGTTGATCTTTCTTTTCTGTTGCCTAATTGATTTTCATGTTGGTTTTATTTTTAGAAAATTGTAGCGGCAAGTATATATAAACATATATACGGTGATGTCGTTGTTAAAGCAAAAGCACTTTAAAGACTGTGTACCTGTTTGTGGCTTCCCCACCTTTGGTTTTCACTGAGTTTCACAGGGTGTGCTATTTATGGGTCGTGGTCATCTAAATTGTTTCCCATCCCCTGGGTCCCCGTCTCCACCTGGGGTCTGGGCCAGGGCCATCTTGGCCAGTCATGCTTGGCTGTGTGGCTTGCCAGCATTGTCTTCAAGAATGATTGATCTAGCCTGCAAATGAGAAATCTAGCTTGCGTTTGTAGTTTGCAAAAACATTTTGGATGGCCCTTTCTGTTGTCCTGCTTGATGCCCCCTCAACCCCCTTCTGCTGCCCCTACCTATGTACCTCCCTCCCACCCCTTGCTCTGACCATGGTTTGATGGCTCTCACAGATTTGTCTTTATCACATCTGGTCATAACATCATCAAGCTGCTAAAATGTCAGATGATGACTGGCAGGCTCACCTTTGCTCACCCCCGGATGCCTGTTGGTGCCTCGAATGGTAAAATGACCCAGCACCCCACTTTCCCTAACCCGGGCAGTGGCTGTTGCCAGCACTGAGTCCTTTCCCACTATCATTATTGCTGGGGCAGCCAAATACTTGTGCAGAAGCTATGACTGCCTTGTTCTTACTGAAGGCATGTGAAAAGTTAGTAAGGAGCTCCCTCCCAGGGGCCCGGGAATTGTCCCTGACCTGGTGACCGACAGCTGTACTCAGCTTCTGGTTGTTCAGCCCTCCGTTCCAGGTGCCAGCCTTTTTCTGGGGACCAGATCACTGATTTCTGGACATAGGCTCAGCATTCCCATATACAGAAGCTCTCTCTCCCAGAAGTGTTATGTGCCAGGTCAGAAGTAGCCAGAGGGAGGCTCTCCCCCACTCCCACCTCCAAAGAGCAGGTTCTCCAGGATGTTCTGTGATGCTGGTTCGCTTCCTGTCTGGAGTGGAAAACCACATCATCTAAGCCTTTCTGGGAAGAGATGGGGATTAATACAGCAAATGCAGACTGGTCTCTTTGGTTGCACTTGGGAAGCTCAGGGATTGTTTGGCTCCTGTAGTTACTGTGGGCTGACCCGAAACCTACATCTCAAGAGCCTGCCTGAGAACCCTGTGCAAAGGGGCTGGAGGGTCATCAGGTGTGCCCCAGGATCTAAGGAGACTTCTGGACCCAGGCACACAGTTTGGCCTCCTGAGGCTGAGGGCCATCTCCCTGTGGGGTTCCCAGCTGAAGACATTGACCCTCAGGGTTGGAAGGAGCTGCTAAGGGCCTCCAGCCCAAGCCCAGAGATGGCACTGGAATCCTCTCCACTGAGGACTGACCACACAGCCCTGGTGGCTGTCTTTGGAAAACTACCCAGGGAGTGAACCCTTTCCCAGTCTCAGCCTCTGAGGGCATTCTGTCATTGATCCCGGGATCACACAGGGCATCAGCTCACCCATGTTCCAACCACAGCCTCCAAAGCCTGCTGTGTTTCCAAGCCGCCTCCACCCTCTGTGGGCAAGATGGGGATGCAGTTAACCTGTTTGCATCGTCTGGGTACTGAGCCCTCATCAACTCCAAAAGAACCCACTGCTCAGCTGTAACAGCCTGAGTGGGCTTTTCTAGGGGCTCCCCTCTGTATGGCCCGTCCAGACCAAAAGGAATTTGTTGATGTGAGTGACCACCTGAAGATGTGCCCAGCTTTACCCTGGCTTAAGACTGGAGTTCCCTATTCGAGCAGCACCTTAGAATCACCTGGGAGCTTTTAAAACTCCCAAAGCTCTGGCACACCCCAGACCAAGGAGATAAGAATCCTTGGAGTGGGACCTGGGCATCAGATTCTGCAAAAGAGCCAGCCCCAGGCAGTTGGAATGTGCAGCCCAGGATGAGAGCTGGCCTGCCCTTTGCATCTGGCTGGCATCTGTAGTTTGGGCAAAGCCATCTTCAGGGTCCTTCCAATTTGTAAGATATTTTGGCAACTTGCACCGTCCCCCAGTGCTGCCAGCAACATCCTCCACGGCGGTGCTCCCTGCCCAGCATGGCACTGAGGGAAGGAGGAGGTGTCACAGGCTGCACTGGGGGTGCACGTGGCTTGGTGTGCTGTTTGTTCTGTCCTTCCTTTCTGCATGTTGTGCTGACATGTCCCTCCACAAATGCTGTCTGGTTCTCCTCTTCATTTTTTTTTTTTTTAAGAATATCCAGGGTTTCAAGTTCACAGTCCAAAATGTGTCATGCTTCAAAGGTGTCAGTTGGAAAAGAGATGTGCACTTCAAATGTCAGTTTGGCCACTGACTTAACCACATTGTGAGGGAGAGGGCACGGAGAGGTCCATCCAGACTTGGAATGAGATGGGGAGGACAAGCAGAAGGGGCCGGGGCCAGATCGTAGCCAGAGAGTGTCTTCCCTGACCAATAGCCCTCTTATTCTTGCAGGTCTAACACACAAGTTATGGACATCTCAAAAGTATCACTGTAGTGTGCTCTGTTTTAGGCACACCCTGGCCCCCTTGAGCATAGGCAGGCAGAGGCGTGCATGCACACACCCCCACACCCTCCCACTCCAGCTGCATGGGTGAGACCCAAAAGCCTCATGCACACAGCCTTAGGGAGATTGGGAGACAGAACTTTAGAGAACTAATTCCTCCATTTGTTAAATTCATTAAGTTAAAACCATCATCTGTCCCTTTAAGATGTTCTTTGTCTTGGGGTGAGAGAAAAGAAGAGGAAAATAAAAGACAGTGACCGGGGCTTGGACTGTGCCATTAGAGGTCCTTCTGAGCATCCCGGGTGAATCAGGGACCCCTTTGGAACCCTATCAGTACCTGGTAGTCCTGGGTTTGTCCTCACATTGCTGAATTTCACTTCTGATAGGATGTGCCCCAACTCCCTTATTTTCCACGAATTTTATGTTTGGTCTCAGGAGGCAGCTGTTAGCGAGAGTGAGAATTCGGAACGGAGCCCTTACTTTCCCTGTATTCCCAGGGAGGAGAACCACTCAGATTAGTGCTCGCCATCTATGCGTGTGCATACATCCCTTAGCTGTGCGGACACGCCATGCAGTAGGGTCCCTAGAAACCCTGGGGACCACTCAGCAGTTCCAGGTCCCCAAGAACTGGCTCATTCCTCTGTCGGTTACCAGGTAGACCAGCTGCTTCACCGAAGGGGACCCTCCTAAAGGGAACAGAGAGGCCGTCGTTCCTTGTCTCTTGTTCAGCCCTTACTGTTTTGTTAGAGCTTGCTTACCACCTCTTTCCAGTCTCTTCAACACTGAATATCTAATAAGTGCCAGACGGCATGCTGGGCACTGAGTGAGGCAAGGTCTCTGCCTGAAGGGGGGGCAAGTGCCCAAAGGGTGATGAGCGCTGTGGTTCAGCCCCCTGCGGCCTGAGCTATAGGTGCCCAGCCAGACCCTGGATGAGGTGGAAGTGCAGAAACTCAGGGCAAGCTGGTCCTAAGCTGCTGCTGCCCAAGAGTCCCATGGGGCTGAGCGCTGTCTTCTCTGACAGCAGCGGTCAGGGCTGTAGGCTGGGCGCTGAAGGCTTCTGTGGGGAAACCAGCCCCTCTCCACTCACACTAACTTGGTTTGCCCACCTCCTCAGCAGCCCTGCCCAGGTATGTGGCTCAGAAGGTGTGTGGGGTGTAGGCAGGTACCACTCTGTTTGCCCCATTTGGTAGACTCCTCCTGTTCATCAGGGTTAGGAGTGGCCTGCTGCAGGGCAGTTAGTTCCCTGGACCCACAATCCTGCCTCAGCAAAGAGAACTAGCCTGCCTGTGAGAAGCAGGGTCCCACTCTGCATGTCTGTCTTTGGGGACAACTGAGGTCTTGCAGCCTTCTCTTTTACTGGATGTCTGCCAACCTCAGAGCATCATGTCCTGGGATGTGAATTAGAAAGTAGCATGTCTGAGCCTATGTCAAAGGCTGCCCAATCTCAAGTCCAGGTTCAGACAGAGCCCCTGGCATTTTCTCAGGGAGGGAACAGCCGTGTTGTCCAAAGACACCAACCAGAAGTTTTTAAAAAGTGGGGAGGGGCCCATCCTTCTGAACCACTGCTTCCCTTCTGTTCATTAATACATTGTCAATCTTTGATTTCTTAAAGCCAACTGAAAGTGAAAATGTCCCTGTCCCAACCGCCACACCCGGGGTAAGATCAGTGACGAGTCCCCCGGGGCTGGGCCTTTTCCTTGACCATGCTGAGTTTCCCACTAGTGTTTCTGTATTCTCCATGGTTGTCCTTCCAAAACAGTGTCTGCGGTGGTTTGCATTCATCATCAGTGTCCAGTACTCTTGACCAGCCCGGCGTTCTCCTCTTAACACACTTGACCATGTGGACATGCATGTGCTGTGTGGACGCAGTTTCCCAAGCCCTGTGTTGTTAGCATGTAACTCTTCCTTTCATATCATGCTTTCCAAGGTGAAAAGGCCCTAGAAATACATCTTCTGTTCTTACCTCTGTCACCTTTGTTTGCATCTGTTGCTGTTTTTCTGGAAGTGTTGCATGTTCTACTTTGCATTGGGTTTGACCTCTCCATGATAACCCTTCAGAACTCTGAAGAGAGCAATAGAATCTCCATCACCTTTTTCCGTCTTTTCCGAGTGATGCGGTTGGTGAAGCTTCTCAGCAGGGGGGAAGGCATCCGGACGTTGCTGTGGACTTTTATAAAGTCCTTTCAGGTAAGAGCCGGGCCGGGGGCTTCTCTGTTGCTCTTGGAGATCACATGTGAGCCAGTGAGTGTCCTCTGTCGTGGAGGATCCGGACTCCCTTCCACATGGCCACTGTGATCCCCTAGGTCAATAGAGGGTGTGGAACATGGAGGCACCTGACCCAGCCGTCCTTGGTGAATCAGACAGGATTCTTGCTCAAAGGAAACAGAAGGCAGTAAGGACCTACAGCTAAGGAGGGGTGTAATGTTTCTCAGATGGATAGAGATGGGGAGTCTCCAAGCCCCTCAGTCCTCTCTGAAATGCCCAGTGGTGGAGGGTGACATCTGAGAGAGGGCAGGTCCCAGCAGACAGCCCGTAAAGTGAACAGCTTCTTGCCAGGACAGCTCTTCCTCCTGAGGCTGCCACGGTCCCCTCTGTTGGCTGGTCTAGATATGAATCAGACTGCTCCACCTGAGCCAGCACACCATCCCCAATCTCTGCATTACCCAGTACCTGTAAGGATCACAGCATTGAGGACATTTGGGCATAAGCCAGGCCTCACTTGTCATCTGTGACTCTCCAGGCTGGTGCAGCCTGAACCAGGACTGACCCAGCTTCTCCTGTACCTTTTAGTACCCCACCCCAGATATTCTAGTCTTCCCGACTGAATTAACTGGGGACGGGGTACAGATTCTTGTTTAAAATATTCGTCTATGTAAAGGAAATGTAGCTATGTATAAACATTAGAAAGTGAATCATGAATCTTTGTGACTATTTTTAATTTGAAATAAACACCTTGACAAGTGAAGCTATCCAAAGACATGTAAAGAAAAAGTTCAAGCTAAGCCCACCACCTCTGAGGTAACTGGTGTTAACATCCCAGGGAGTGTTTTTCTGCTTGGGTAAGATTTTAACACGTAAAGGGAAAGGGTGGCTTCTGGGAAAGGGGGTAGATCCAAAAACTCAAAGAAGGGAAATCACAGATCCTGGCAGGGAACCTGAGGTTGTCAGGAGAACTGGGGATACAGCGCTCGGGGAGAGCGAGCAGGGCCCCAAGTGAGCCTTGGTCTCAGAAAGGGGTCAAATCCCAGACATTCGTTACTAATATAAAGTACCAAAGTTTTCGAGTGAACTGCTATCAAGACAGAATAGATTCATGCAATAATGTCATACTTACTTTTAAAGAAATTATTAAACTTTTTCTTTTTAAAAATTTGTCCACCGTAGATAAGTTCATTGCACAAAGTGGTAGTTCACAAAAACTGAGAAACAGTGCCAACAGAATTCTTAAAGATTCAGTAATCTAGGAAGAAAATGTGTATAGGTATGGTGAGGAAAGCCTGGAACTAACCCCGTGGGGCTCTGACCAGCGGTCAGCCATCAGGACGGTGCTGTTGCACCGGGCCGGGCAAGCAGTCCCAGATCCAGAGGGGACCCACAGCGGGAAGGCTGTTAGCCACTGGCTTTCTGATTTGTGGCTAAAAGAGAAAGTAGATGCCTTAACCATGAGTGCTTGGCATTGAGTTCAACAGTCTGGCCACGACCCTGGAGGTGTACCATGTGCATGTCACACGACATGTCCTAGAAGAAAATAGTGGAGGAACAGGGATGGGAGGAGCAGGGGTCTGACCCCGCACACACATATCTGTAGTTAGTGTTCTTAAGGAGGGTCCAGGTCTGGTGACCACCCAGCTAGCTCCCTTTCTTTTCCCCAACCCCGACCCTCAACTCGCATTCTTTCAGAAAGCGTGTATTTTAAGAAAGATGTCTTGCTTTCTGCAGGAGCAGGCAGAAAGTGGTTCTTCCCCTTGGCCCCGGTAATTTCACCCCCAAGACCTCACCTGAAGCAGACATGGGTGGTTTTGCACAAAGATGTTCCTTTGCAGTGTGATCTACAATAGACCTTGCCCCCACCCCAAACATGCCCACAAAAGAAAGTGGAAACAATCTGAATACCCAGTGTTCTGGAATGGTTTGATCAATTATGATAATCACAAAGGAATCCAATGATGCATATAAACGTCATTGTGTGGGTGATATGTCTGCCCTGACACTTTTTATTTAGGGTCAGGGTATCCTGTTGATGGTGGAAAGCATATCCTGCCCATAGATTCTTAACACTAGGTGTGTGCATGGATGGTATACTCAGGACTGAAGTTACTGTGCTGGGCTGGGGTTTAAAAAGTCCTCCTTCACTGTTGACGTCCTTTCAGCATAACCCAGAAAAGAGAAGCATGTGGCCCTGTGTTGGGCCTTCATTCTGTACCCGAGCAGTCACAGTGTGGGGGAGAGGGGAGAGGCGGGCACTGAGCCAACTGCTTCCTTCTTCCAGGCACTGCCCTATGTAGCCCTCCTCATAGCCATGTTGTTCTTCATCTACGCGGTGATTGGCATGCAGGTAAGCACTAGCCACTTTCCCACTGTGTCCCCTTTGCTGGGTAGCCCCAGATCTGTGGCAAGATGTGCCTTGGCCAGGGGGAGTGGAAAGCCAGGGTCCTGATTTTGCAGGCAAGCGCCTGTGCCGGGGACAGCCAGGCTCAGAAGAGCAGGGAGAGGTTGGGACGTGCCGGGGAAGCCTGGGTGTAGTGGTACGCCTCACCCCCAATCTGAGTCTTGGGAGACTCAACTGATGGAGAAAACCCACAGTTGGTTTCAGCAACAGGAAATACCACACTGAGAGAAGCTGTAATTGTTCTAGCTTCTGTACTGTTGTTACTAAGAAGATATTTAATGATACTGAAGTCTGTTGATGGCCTGGAAAGTTATGTTTTTTGTTTTTTAAAGATTTTATTTATTTATTTGAGAGAGAGAGAGAGAAAATGAGAGATGAAAGCACGAGAGGGAAGAGGGTCAGAGGGAGAAGCAGACTCCCTGCTGAGCAGGGAGCCCGATGTGGGACTCGATCCTGGGACTCCAGGAACATGACCTGAGCCGAAGGCAGTCGCTTAACCAACTGAGCCACCCAGGCGCCCGGAAAGTTATGTTTTATCACAACCGGCTAGATTCTTACTTGAAACCACCTGCTCCCAGATGCTATGGCGGGCGCTGCACTGGGATCATTATTTGGCATGGGTAGCGCCCTTTTAAGAAAGAAGCACGACCTTCGGTGGCCATGGCTGAGGGGCTGCAGGATTCTTCCCTGCTTCTCCGGGGGTGTGGAAAGGGATTGGGGCTTCATTCACTGCTGAGCTGAGCTGAGCCCTAGCAGGGTAGGCACAGCCTCCAGGAGGAGAGGGAGGTGGAGAGCAGTCTGCTGGACCTCCTGGGGGTCTCTCTGCTACATGCTCTGCTGTTTTGGATGCTGTCTTTCAGATAAGGGGGGATGCAAGTGTCAAAGAGGTGGGGTGATTCCAAGGCAGAGGGGTGGCTGCGCTTCCTTATCTGAAGGCATAGAAAAATTTGCAGTTCGATAGGGATCTATTTGGGAGTTGTGAACGACGAGTTGACCTACTTGAGCCCCTGTAATTCAGCGTGGGATGCTTTGTGCCCCAAATGGCCTTTTATGACCTGATGTTCTCCTACAAAACAAGAGCTGTCTGGGAGACCTGCAAGCTGCCCTGCACACACCATCACCAGTTCGCTCAGGAGGCTTTGCCAGGTTCTTCTAAAATGGCCTGCTCTTCTACAAGTCCCGCAGCTAACTTCCCCTTGCCCTTCCAGGAAAGGCCCCTCTCCTCTCTGTGGCTCACTGGCCCCCACGTTTGTCTGTAGCCGGATCTTTTGTCTATGCACACTCATGGTCTTTTCATTTCCTGGGGCTCTTGGGCCGTGTCCCCTCTGCTCCTTTGCAGGCAGTGCTTCCTCTGCCCAGACACCCCACCCTCCTGCTCACCTGACTAGCCTCCACTGTGCCTTCAGTTCTGGGCCTAAATGTCACTCTTCCAGAGGCCTTTCCTGACCCCAGCCCCTGGCTGCGGATCCGTTATGTGCTTCCCTGTCTGGCTGGATCAGGCCAGCTCTCTGCAGGAGGGGCTGTCTGGTTGCCTGGTAGGAACTCCCTGAGGTGAGGAGGCTCCTGACTTCGGCACTGGGCTCCCAGCAGTTAGCACGGTGCCCGTCCCATGTTTGCTGAGTGAATAAAGTGCCAAGCACTACGAGAGAGCCCTACTAGGTGTTGATCAATCTTGTGTTCGAAATTCACATGTGGAATATGTTTCGTGGAGAGTGTTTTGCTTTTTTTTTTTTAAACAAAATCTTTATTTCCCTAATAATTTCTCCACCCAGATGTTTGGGAAGGTTGCTATGAGAGATAACAACCAGATCAACAGGAACAACAATTTCCAGACCTTTCCCCAGGCGGTGCTGCTGCTCTTCAGGTGACTGCGTCCCATGAGGGCACATCTCTCCCTGGCTCTGGGCTCCAGGGTGACCCAGGACACGTGCTCTGCTACAGCAGTGTGTCCCCTCCTGGTTGATGGTGGTGGCTTGTATTTGTTCTGTATTCTTGAACCAAAGACCTTACCATTTCAGTCAGAGGAATTTCGATGGATTGTGGAAACCGCTATGGTCATTCAGACTGTGGCCAGCTTAAGGGTTATCCCTTTGGAAGCTAGTAGGTCTACTAAAGCCACCAGGAAAATGGTGGGATACACACTTATGCATGGGAGCATGCACTTGAACACACCCAGGAACATGGAAATAGAGCAAGAACAGAAAGGGCCTTTGCACAGCCAACAGGGAACATCCAAGATGCACAATTTCAGATTTTATAGGATTGTTTTTAACCCTAGTTAACTAGCTTTGTAAACAAGTTGCCTTGAAGTGAGAGAACTTTCTAGAAATTATACAGGTAATTTCTAATGATTCTCGTGATTGAATAGTGAGTTACTTAGAATTTGGTAGTTTTCAGTTCTTTGCTTTCAACAAAATTGAATGGGGATCTAATCAAATTGTCAGGTATTAGGTCATTAAAAATAATTATTTTAAGATTGTAACATAAACATTTAAATAAGAGAAGACACAAAAACATCCATTTATACAGAAAGAATTGATGTGCTTGTATCAAATGATTGTTTTAAATCAAAGGGAGCTATAGCAGGGCCTCCACTCAGAGAAGTTGCATTTGAAAATAAGTAGGAATTTCAGTTTAGGAATTTTCATTCATTCGAACTGGCTTTTCCCCTAAATCACTTAGGTTTTGCTCTAATTACAAATTTTGTTTTAAAAAAAAAATTCTTAAAAATGTCTTGAAGGTCTAAGCTTCAAATCGCTCCTTCATCTACTAAAGCCCTTCTTCTTAATCTCAACAAGGTGTGCCACAGGTGAAGCCTGGCAGGAGATCATGCTGGCCTGCCTCCCAGGGAAGCTCTGTGACCCCGAGTCGGACTATAACCCTGGGGAGGAGTACACGTGTGGGAGCAACTTCGCCATTGTTTATTTCATCAGTTTTTACATGCTCTGTGCATTTCTGGTGGGTGATCATGACAGCTCTCTTTCTCAACTGGTAGATGCTTGTGTGGCATTTGGGATTCAGACCACGGATGTTGCCCCCTCGAATGACTGTGGGGTATTGTATGTTGATGAGCACTCTAGACTTCATTTGGCAATTGGGGGTTTTTCTTCAACAGGTGTATGTTACTAGCAGCTTCGTTGTGAGCAGGGGTTTGAGTCTCCCTAACAGGCTTGGGACAGTCACCACCCCAGCGTCTTAGGGCTGCTGGTGTCTTTATCCAAGTTCCAAAGCCACCGCACGTAGCAGTGACTCAACAGTGTGAGGTATTTGGTGGCCACAAAATTATAAAACTGCAGTGTGCGTCGACAAGGCCAGATGACACAGCCCCCTGCTTTCCCCTGGGACTATACCAAAGCCATTGTAGAAAGCTGGAAGCCTGCCTTTTTCTTCAACATTCTCCAGAAAGAAAGTTTTTGTGGCCTCAGAGAAGTGGGTTTCAAATGTTTCACGACTCTTATAATTAATTAGGAGGCCCTTACTAGGGTCTAAGCCCATCCATTCCACTAAAGATGAAGCAGCTTTGCTCTGATGTGCTTTTTCAGATCATCAACCTGTTTGTGGCTGTTATCATGGACAACTTTGATTATCTGACCCGGGACTGGTCTATTCTGGGGCCTCACCATTTAGATGAATTCAAAAGAATATGGTCAGAATATGACCCTGAGGCGAAGTAAGTTGAAAAGGCTTCCATGTGACTTGTGTGGGCTGTTTCTGGAGTGTTGGCTGTGATTTTTGTAGAAGGTGGGATGGACCGAAAGCTCAGGCCAGCCAGTGCTTCCCTGGACCTCATGCTGTTCTTTGTCTCCAGAGGAAGGATAAAACACCTCGATGTGGTCACTTTGCTCCGCCGCATCCAGCCTCCCCTGGGGTTTGGGAAACTATGTCCACACAGAGTAGCCTGTAAGGTAAGTGTCCTGTTGGTGTGTCTGATGGCCTCTCTGCAGGGACTCTCTGCTTCATTCAACACACACTAAGTGACATTCTGCTAAGCCTTCCATCAGGTGCACTGGGGATGCAGAGATGAATCATATGTGGTTCCTGTCCTGAGGCGCTATCAGATTTGTAACTCTTAGGATACCCTGTCAGCCAATAGTAAGAATAGGAAGGGGATCATGTCATTTGTTACTGGGTGGGTGGAGGGGAAGGTGACATTTGCATCAGGTCCAGAAGGACAGAAGCGGGAGGGCATTGCAGAAAGGGAACACAGCTCAGATGCGGAGGTCGGAGAATTACCATCATGTTGGCACATGGGGAGTCACTGATGTGGCTGGAGCATAAGGGAAAGTGGCAGAGGACTGTGGGCACAAGCTGAGCGCAACTTCAAGGAGCCCTCTGTGCCAGGCTGAGTCCCACAAAAGCATCAGTAGAGTTTCATGGTGGGAAGTTGCCCCTTGGCAATGGGGGAGTAAACAGGAGACTACCCAGAGAGCTGTTGGAGTCACCCAGAGTGAGGGCGGTGGAGGTGGGGACAGAGGAGGGCAGGGCTGGAAGGTCTGCTTAGGAAGTAGGATGGAGAAGACGTGGTGCCCTAGCTATTTCCTAGCTTGAGGGACCGTGGACATGGTGGCACACCCCTCTGCCACCAGAGTGTCTGTCCCCATGAGCCATACATCAGCAGTGGCCTCTTGGGGTTGGGTCCAGATCTCCCATCCCACCCCACCCCACTTCTGTAGTTTTCACCCCAGACCATGCTCTCTCTGAGCTCCAGCTGAGATTTGTTCTTCTTCCATAGAGCTCTCAGGGAACCACCTTGAGTCAACGTAGCAACAGAAAATAATTCCCCTTTCTGAAGGAGACATGCAAGATTTGCTTACTGCAACTGCCCCTAGAAATCCAGCCAGCCACACAAGAGCTGGTCACCTCTCCCCCTGGGTCTGAGGCAATTTTGGGTTCAGGGGTTTTACCCAGTGTTGCTGGGCCAGCTCTAGACAGAACCCAAAGTAACAGAGTGGAGTCTATAACGTATTGCAGAGAAATTTCAAAGAAATCTTTGGAGACAAACTCATTGTTCTCTGCCCTGAAAGTCCAGAAAACCCTATTGGCAGGTCCTTGGGTCTTTGCCCACATCGTTGCTTCTCTGTAGCCTGGACTCTGGATGAAGGTACAGAGAATGAGCCACAGAAGTGGACTTCTTTTCATAAATTTCTCTTCTGCTTTCCAAGAACAAGATGGGTTCCAGCTTATGGCTGTTGTTTTGTGTTTACGTTTCCAGACCCTTTTATATAAAGGATCTACGTATCCTTGAGGCACAATGTGGTCCATTTTGCTGATTCAGGAACTTGCCAGAGAAAGTGAATGGACATGCAGGCTCTCCTGGCTACCTGTGCTGGGTTTGGAGACAGGCATGATTGGTAATAGGACTAGAAATTTAGGTGGGATGAGTCATGCAAACGTGGGATTCCAGTCCCTTAATAGGGAAGAGAAAAAGCATTAAAAATCTCTTAGGATGCCTTGCCATCCCAAAATAAGAAATTTGGAACCATTAACAATTACAAATACCACTTACTTAGCTCTGATCACATGCCAGGCATCCCCTGAAATTTTAGCGTCCATGACCCACCTTAATCCCAGCTGGGTGTGCCATCTGTATTGGAGGTAACCAGGGCCCAGAGAGGGTATCACTCCCTCAAGCCCATTCCTCAGCTCCCAGTGCTAGTGTTCGAGGGACCAGAAGGGAGAAGAGAAGCGGGAAGTGGGGATCCTGCTCTGAAAGACCAGACAGAGCAACCGTGTGGACTTAAAGGGGGTCCCACCGTGGGCATGATGGTCCCACCGGGGCAGGGTTCCCTAAAGGACACTCCCTATGTTAGAAGTAGTGAGGACCCAAGCTCCAGTCCCTGTGCCTGGCTTGTCGTACCTGGTGTATTATCTCATCCTTAACAACAGCTTTAAGGATGTGCCCACAAGGGAGGCCTGACCCTGAGATGTGGGGAGGGACAGAAGAGCGCTTGAACAGTCACGTCTTAAACAGTTGAGGTTAAAAACAAGCAAACCACACCATCCGCGTGCCAGCATGTGTGTTTCACGACTAAAGCCTTGATCTGTGTCAGCTCCGAGTACCCCCAGGTGCTAGGTGCTCCCTAAGGAGTTGTGGAATTGAACTGTTGACTAGAAGGAGGCAAGGGATAAACAGAATCAACACCGAGAAGTAACATGGCCGTCATCCATCATTCGCCTTCTATTGCGAAACTTCTTTCTGTTTACAGAGACTAGTGGCCATGAACATGCCTCTCAACAGTGATGGGACGGTCATGTTTAATGCAACCCTGTTTGCTTTGGTTCGAACGGCTCTTAAAATCAAGACGGAAGGTGAGCATCCCTGGGACAGGACGGGGTACAAGAGGAGAGGGATGCCATATCCCACGTTGCGTTCTCCCATCTGGGCCTTTTCTTGTCGAAGGGCAGGCCGTGGGGAAGGGGCAGTGAGTGCTCGGCCCAGCTGGCTGTCCCTGCCTGCCTTTATGCTTCACTTTGTCCCAGAAAGTTTTGCGGTGACCCCTGCCACTGCTTGCTTACAGAGCAGGAGAGATTAGGTGGGGGAAGGGGGGCTGGGGCAGAGACAGGACCATCACAAGTGTGCTCACTCCAGCTGTCCCTTTCTACTGTGTGACCTTCAGGGAGGGATTTCATGGTGCTGAGCTGTAGCTTCTTTCTCTGTTGAAAAGGAATAAGTATGCCTCCATCCCAAGGAGTCCCAAGGCTGAGATGAGAGGATGTCTGCAGGAGCCCCTCTGCCAGGCGGGCACAAAGCCAAAGCCGGCACTTGGGGACTATTAGCAGCCGCATTTTCCCCGCTGAGATCAAACACTCAGCCCTGGAAGGTGGCCACTGGGGTTGGCTCAGTGATGCCATGAGAGTGGGACAGAAAGCAGATTGCAGCAGGTTGAGGAGTGACAGGAGGTGGGAAAGTGGAGGCCGTGAAGGAGCCAACTCTTGGCACAGTCCGTGGACGAGAGGGAGGAGGGGCCGGCAGGGCATGGCTGCGGTCTGCAGATGGCTGTCTGCCAGTAGCCCCGGAGCTCTAGGTGAACCTCTGCCCAAAGCCAGTCTCTCCAAGCTCCCAGTGCCCCTGGCAGTGTGCTCACCCATACCTGGCCCGGCCAGTATGCCTGGGCGGGGCAGAAGGCAGGGTGGTCTTGGGGACTGACAGGTTAGCTGAGGAGACAGGCTTCAGCCCATATAATAAAAGACCAGGCTTTTGTGGTGCTGACGAGTACATGCAGTAGGAATTGAGAGAATTTCTCATTTGAGTGAAATGGAGGCAGTGTTTGGAACAGGCAGTGGAGGAATAGTTTGGAACAGGCATTCTAGCTGGGGGCAGTGGGAAGGGGTGCGTCTTGGCTGTGGGAGGGTAGGATGAGATCAGGCTGCATAGGCCTGGAATTCCAGAATAAAACACTGTTCCTACCATGGGGTGACTGCCCAGTGGAAGGCTCGCCCACTCTTTGCCTGTGACCCCTCCACTGGAGAGCCAAGGGGGAGGGGAGCCCCGTCCTGTCTGAGGTCTTTGCTCCAGGCCAGGCTGGGAGGGAAGCAGCCCTGGTGGGAACAGACAGGAGAGCTGGCTAAGAGAAGCAAGGCTCCTTATAGATTTGGGATACTAGTCCTTTGTCTGATATGTCATTTGCAAATATCTTCTCCCATTCTCTCGGTTGTCTTTCGGTTTTGTTGACTGTTTGCTGTGCAAAAGCTTTGTATCTTGATGAAGTCCCAATAGTTCATTTTTGCCCCCAAAAAAGAGAAGCAGGGCTCGTTTTCCCCTCTTGCTTTTTGAATTTAGGGAACCTGGAACAAGCTAATGAAGAACTCCGAGCTGTGATCAAGAAAATCTGGAAGAAAACCAGCATGAAACTGCTTGACCAAGTTGTCCCTCCAGCTGGTGGTCAGTGCAATCTATTTCCTAAGTGGTTCTTGGCTAATGCATTGGTTTCAGTGCAAGGATCTCCAGCAAGCCCCAGAGGGGGTTTGCAGAATGCTTTACGTATCTGCTAGAGCATTCGGGCCCACAGCTAAAGAAGGCTCTTCGGCCTCTTGGTGTAATTATTTGGGGTAACAGGAGGACCATTCCAGACAAAGGAGAGGCTTCAGTGGGAAGGAGACCCAAGACCCAGATGGCTGGGGCAGGGGTTTTCTGGTCGGTGGAAGAATTACCATGGGAGAACAAGCTTACTGTCTCAAACCAGAGTCTGTATTTTTTCAACCAAAATGAAATACTTAAAGTTAGTTTCCATTTATCCTTCAACATGTTGTTGAAAATGTCTCAGAAAAAATAGATAGCTTTCAGAAAATGGCATTTTTGAAATGTTCTTCTCAGGACTGAGTTTACCATCATAATTACCGAAAATGTCCCTTTAACTGGAGTTTAGAGTCAGAACTAACAGGCATGCTTATTTCCTTTTGTTATTTGTCATAAAATAACAGACTAAACTTTTTCAGATGTATATATGTATATATGACGCACATATATATAATATATATACTGTTTTTCCATTTTTGTTTAAGTACACCGGACTTAGACATTAAGGTGGTTGTTTTGTGACTATTTTATTTTCACGTTTTAAAGGTGCAGGATCCATTCACTCCGTGCCACGACCCCAGTATTCTAGCCGCCCCTAGCCCCGGGCACATTGTGAGCATTCGGTGTGTTTTGTAACCAACCACACTTTTCTAGCATCACCGCTCCTGCAACTTTCGAGATTGGTGGGGCTCAGGGCTGGAAGCCGACTCCGGGACCCGGGGCCACCACCATGGCCAAGGCCTCTCCCTCTGAGAAGGTGACAGTCTCTGGCTCTTGGGAGGCAGAGAGAGAGAGAGAGAGAGAGAGAGCGAGCAGCATGGAGGCTAGGTCTGCTCCTCCGCATGAAGCCAGAGCAGTGTGAACTTTTGTCGCTGGAGGGAGCCACCCCTAGCTGGCACAGCCACCTGTTCAAAGCTGGGGGAGACGGTCCCAAAGAAATGATAAAGGGAAAGCACGCACGCACGCATAACCCCCCGCCCAAAACCAAAGAACAGAAAACTGTCAGCTCCCACCTGGAGCACCCGGGCCCTCCACAGGAGAACTGATGCTGCACATTTAAAACAACTCTTCGGTTTCGTTCTTTTCCTTGCAGCTGCGCACCCAGTGCTCGCATGGCTTAGAGAAATTGCTTTTTAAGATTGTTGTAACAATGTGCTTGAGCTTTTTCTGCAGCCTCCATTCCTTTCAAGTCTCAGTCTTTCAGAATATTCTGAAGCAATTCTGTTTTAGGGTGGTGGCATGGAATCAGGGTTATCTCTTGGCAGCCGTATTCCCCTACACTGTTTCTCAAATCCAGATGCATGCTTCAGAATAGCGGCTGCGTGCGTCCCGGTAAACCCTGCCCCCCTCCATCTCCCCCCAGGGCCGGCCCACCCTGCCCCAGCACCACTCTGCTGACCAGCCACCCTCTTCACAAACCAGTCTCAACCCAACATCTTGGGGAGCATAGTCGCATTACTGTGAAGCTTTCTTTCTTTTAATTAGACCAAGAAAAAAAGGTCCAGAGTTTGGCTCACCATGCTAGTGCCCTTAAAACAGATCAAATTTTAGCTCTGCTAGACTGCTAGTGAAAGCCAAATATCCTTCCGCTTTCTTGGCCCGATAGCTGGGCCTGGCCTTTTCTCTGTATTTCTTAGAAAAGATTGGGGTTTAGGATGACAGGTGTCCATCTATTCCAAAATGGCAGCAGGAGCACGGTGAAACGCGAGAAGGCAGCAGGCCTTTAGGAGGTGGCATGCTGCACTGTTTGAGTGTGTCTCTAGGATGGTGCTCCTCCAGGCCGAACCCCCAGTCCTACTGCGCTGGAGAGGCTCGTGGCAGGCAGGGACTCTGAGGCATCTGCGAACATACTCTGTAGGAGGTGCATGCAGGGCAGGATTTTACTGCCTGCATTCCACCAGTTCTCTCTGTTGCTTCTTTTCTCTTCCAGTAGACCAGTGGTTCCCAGCCTCGCCCACATTGTGGTGCACTTGGAAAATGGGCCTCTGGGCCAGCAGATGGCTAGCTCCCAGGGCCGAGGGGCTCAGTGTCCTGCAGGCCGTACCCTGGCCAGAGTGGCAGACTCCACCAGGCCAGCTGCTCCCCGTGTCTGGGACTGGCCCATGTGGGGCATCAGGGAGCCCCTCACAGGCCTGGTGACAGTGGGGCAGGGGCCCATCTTGGGAGGCTTTGTAGCTCAGGGTGGTGTGTGGTGCTCCCCCCTGCCCAGGTTATCACAAGCTTCTGAGAAGGAGGCGGCCCCAGGAGCCAGCCCCAGAGGAGCAGTGGGGAACTGTCCTTCTGCACCGTGGCAGTGCAGGGGCCTGTGGCCTCGGGCATAGCCTGCCTGTCCTCTCCATTACCTGTGCTCAGTCGTCCCCTTGCCCATCTCCGAATCTTGCTCATGTCCTCTGCTCTACTCTTCAGTCCTCTACCGTGTCATGGCTCTTCCCCCTTTCTGTAGGAGTCCCCTATTCTCCCAGGGGCTGTCCTTCCTTTGGGCCTCACTCGACCTGGATCTTTGGCTCCTTTGTCCTGAAGAGCTCAAAAACCTGACCCCATCTCTTTCTCTCCAGGCCTGAGCCCGGACAGCCTCACTGCAACCATTCCTTCTGTCCCTTCCTTTTCTAACCAACTCTAGCTTTGATTTTTCCTGTTCTTGAGAGCTTGTCCCCAGCCCAGCCTCAATTAGCTTAGCATCTCAGTGGAGAAGACCAAGTGGTGGCCTGCCTCCACTCTGGAGTGGCCACTCAGGCAGAACCACAGTCAGCCCTCTGCACTGAACACCTTGCTTCCCCCAGTTCTGGGCCAAAGAGAGCCAAGACCCTCCTGCAGGAGCCTCCTGGGCCCCTCCAGGCCAGCACCATCTGGGCTGAAGGGAGAAAAGGATCAGGCCTGCATTTATGGGAAACATCCCAGTGTGGAATGAGGTGGGTCTTCCGTAAACCTAGTGTTTTTTTCTGGGAGCCCACAGAGAAGACTTGATACCCTGGACTGCAGGAGATAGCTGTGGCACAGAAGGCAGAGGCCCCCTGGGTCCCCCAGGGTTGTCAACTGTGAGCCCACCTCCTGCACGCAGCTCAGTAGAGAGACTTGTACTCTGGGGGAAGCAGCCCCAAAGAAGTAGGTGGTCTGCGTGGCCAGAGCTGGGCAGTCCCTGAGTGGGTGGTGTGGAGGAAGAGGAGAGCCCACGCTTGGGAGGCCTACTGCCCTGGGCTCATATCCCAACTTGACTGGCCAGGGCAGGTCATTCAACCCTGCTCCACCTGTTGAGGGGAAAGCCATTCCACCATCTCAGAGCTGTTGTGAAGAGGCCATGACTCCCACATGGAGTTCCTCTGGGAACATGGATGCCCAAGAACAGAGGTAGCTGGAAGGTATACCAGATGTACCCTGGGCAAAATTGGGAGCAGCTTGAGAGCAAAGTAGGGGTGAAGTGTCAAGACATAAATGGTCTGTCCACCTCTCACCTCCATGCCCATGGGCAGTGCATCATTAGGCTATTTGGACCAGCCTGAGACAGATGCAGGACATAGTTTCACATGCTACCCAAAGCCTTCATCCCTTTGTTGGCCCCTACACCACTTCAGGCTTCTCGGCTGGGGTTTGTGAGGAACACAGCGCACTTCTCAAGGCCAGCTGCCCCAAGGCATCTTCTTACTCAGTAACACTGAGTGGCTCCTGACAGTGAAGGTTGGAGAGGTGCATACAGCAGCCCAGCGGTATCTAGATGGGGACACTTCCCACATGGGCACTGAATGAACCCCGTTGGGGTTCATTCAGTGAATGCAGAGGGTCCCAGTGGCCCCCAACCTGTCATGTTCCACCATCCATTTCAGTGGATGGCACCGTCAGCAGGCTGCTGGCTCACTATCATCCAGCCCAGGCACTTCGGACCGTCCTAGCATGGGGCCGGGTGCTTCTAGGCCTCCTCTCGGATCATGCTCACAGCACCTTTAAGAGGTGTAGCCCCATTTATAGATGAGAACACAAGCTCCTTGCCCCAGATCACCATGCAGCTCTTGCAAGGGCAGCCTGGGTTCAAGCTCAGCTGTCCCAAAGCCTGAGGGCCAGCAGCCCTTCCTTCTCCCAGCCTCTACAACTCCTGGGGCCCTAAGCTTCTTGCCCAGGGGCCACTGCAGATCTGGGGGCGAGCACCCCAGGGAGAGCAGGGCTGGTGGAGGCCCCTGGGCAAACACATCGTGGTTTACCATGAGACAGCCAGAGCCTCTATTCTGCCTCATGCATCACCTTTAAAATGCTCAGCGGAGTTCCAGTGCCCCAGCAGTACATGCTGGAGTTGTTCCGAACAAAGCAGAAATAAGCTCAACTTCGAGGTTAGTTGGAGCTGTCGCTTGCAGTGCCAAAAATAAGCAGTTCTGGATTACAAACAGAGAAATGGCATATGGAGGCTATTGGAACAGAATCACGGGGGCACGTGAAAATCTGGGTTTGCAGCCACTTTCCTGAACCTTCCTCCTCTTCCGAGCTTGTCTGTCACTTTCTGAGGTCTCTGTCTTTATCTCAAAGCATCAGGATTTGGATGGTTAATTGCCTTGGTGTTCATGGTAATTACACGTGCAAATCTCTATGCACAGGGGTGAAAATAGGACCCAGGAAGTCTTTTTTTTGTTTCGTAATTTTTATTTTCAGTAAATAACCAAGACAGCACTCCATAGTGTTACTAATATGCTGCTCTAATAAACTCATGACAAACATATCGTTTTCTGCAGTTTTGAGTATCAGTTCATGGGACTGACTCTAATTTTGAGCCTTAACTGCTTTGCAAAACCTTGCTTTTTGCTAGATTTAGTCTCCCAGGTCCTCAGCCCAGAGCTCAATGCCCTGGGCGCTGTCCCGCCCCGCCCCGCCCTGGCCCCCAGCGAGAGTTGAGGCTCCTGGTGCAAATGTGCTGATTCGGGAGAGCTCTGTCTGGTCTCTCCGTTTAGATGATGAGGTAACCGTGGGGAAGTTCTATGCCACTTTCCTGATACAGGACTACTTTAGGAAATTCAAGAAACGGAAAGAACAAGGCCTGGTGGGAAAATACCCTGCGAAGAACACCACCATTGCCCTACAGGTGAATTGTCCTTTTGTCTTCTTCTCTTTTCACTAACCATTTTACAAGCTTATTTGAAATACTAGAGAGCTGGCTATTCATGGTTGAGCGGTGCCACAAGGATTTTGTTTAAACTGAGATACCGCACACCCCCCAAAATGCGGACTAGCCATTTCTGGGCTATGAGGTAAGTGCCCCCCTCTCTTGCTTTGTCTGTTGTGCCCGCACCTGCCGTGGCCCGGGGGGCAGGGCCCCCAGGACAGCGGCAGAGGTATAGCCCTGGCAGGCCCCGGGGGGCCAGCGCTGGCCTTTTACCCTGTCTCCTCCCGTCTTCTCCAAAGACAGGGTCCTTAGGCAGGCACCCACCTCCCCCCTGTCCCGGGCTCGGGCCCTAGCTGCCCAGGAAACAGCTTTCCATCTGAACGCAAGTGCTTTGTTTTGTTTCTGTTTGTTTCTTACCCCACTGCTTGTTGGTTTTTGGTCCATTTCAGTAACATCCATCACCTCCTGGTGTGTGTGTGCGTGCAGATGGGTGTGTGTGTGCACACGTGTGTCACAGTGTGTCTGTCTCCGTGTGTGTTTCCTGACAGCCGTGAGGCTTGCTGTGCAAACGCTGCTCTGTGCCCAGGCCAGCCTCTGGGCCCTCCCCCTGTGCCAGCCCCAGCCCGTCCCAGGCTCCTGGAGTGTGGGCGCGGCTTACAGGAACCTCTGGTTCCAGCCAGGGTCCATGCATTCAAGGATGTAGAACCCTAGGTAAGCCCAGATCTCTGGCACGGGAAGCAGGTGTGTGGAGGAAGGGGTCACTGTGAAGCTTGCAGGAGGAGGGGCCACGAAGGGAAGTTTGTGAGCAAGCACTGGCAACAAAGAAAGCAGGGTGAAGAGGGAATGAGATGTTAAGAACTGGCAAAAGGGAACTGCAGAGGTTGGCAAGCTGCAGAAACACCTGTCCAAACTAACCAGAGCCCCATTATCTCTGCTACCCACATGCCTGAAGTCCGTCACGAGTAAGATAGAGTTTTTTCCCTATTCATTTGTTTACTTTAAAATGACTTTTATGTCCCTGTTATCATCATTAGTCTTACATTGGGCCATGTAGGGTATTAGCAGGGTTCAGTGTGGAATAGTCCTTCACTTTTTTCTGGAGAGAAATGCCCAGTGTTGTTTTGTGTTCCAAGCGATGGTGCAGTGAAGGGAGGGCTTGTCTGTGAGCTTGCTGCGAGAGAGGACATGAACGTGAATGGCCACAAGTGAGGGCAAGTGGGTGCATATGCAGATGGTGGGGTAGTAGATGTCCTTCATGAGGACACCTCTGCTCTGCCCAGACAGCTGCAGAGCCGGGGGAAGCAAAGATGCTCAATCCAGCTGAAGACGATTTCCGATCTTTATTTCTCTGATCACCTGTCCTAAAGGTGGCTCAGTGAACCACAGGCTCAGTCCAGTAGCCCATTGCTGTCTCAGGTTGTGGAATTTGTGAGTAAAACTTTCCCCTCTGGCCCCTCCAGTCTGCAAAAGGGACAGCCCTCCTCCCAACCACCATTCACAAGTAGCCTTGGAAAGATGAAAGCAAACTGAAAAGATGTGTTTGCAAATCTGAACAAGTCTGTGGTCCATAGGCTCTTGGGGGCAGCGTGGCCAAGTTGGGTGCAAGGAGAAGGTGTGATGAATGTGCTTCAGAAGGCACTTCCCTAAAGTGGTCCTGGGCCTGGAGGACTAGACTGGCCGGATTTGGGAGTGTCACGGTCCCCTCCCCCTGCAGGGAACTGCCTGCTATTCTGGGATTCTAGGTGGTGGGGTCCATAACACTTGATGACTTTTCTTGAGGAGGAAACATACTCTCTCATGGATGGCTATGTCATAACTTCCAGTAACCAAGTTAGCTCTGTGTTAGGAGACCCTTCTGTTTTTTGGGGAAGGTGTGCATGATGACCACATGAGTAGAGTTCTCCCTTCCCTGAATCCCCAAGACTTCCCAGTCAGATGGCTTCAGTTCCTGCTCTAGTGGCTAGATACAGTGTTTTGATGTTTTAAAACCTGAAAAACAACACATGGCTAAATAATTATCACATTTCATGGATGGGCTTCCCTGAGTCTTTTAAGTTGCAGTTTCAAATGGTGCTAAAGCTACATTTATAAGTCATGGGGTAAAAGACCAGCACATTGCATTACAATAATGTTTTTCTCCTAAACATTTTTCATTTTGTTGTTTGTAGAAAGAGTTTCATTTCCTTGGTGAAATTAAACATTTCCTGTTAGATGATGATACCAGTGCATCTTTACCTGGTTCTGTTGGGAGTTGAGGCTATGACTATAATTTATGTTGAGTACACAGCCCAGAAGATTAAGTTGTGTTCATAATCTTGACTGATAAATTCTGAAAGTGTATTGGATTCTGAAGCAAACATTAAAAATAGAAAATTCTGGTCTCCTTGAAGGATAATTCTAATTACATTTTTGGCCTCCTCTGTTCTAGAAGTGGCTTTAAATGTGATTTGTTGCTCTACATTTAATGAGCACGAGGAAGCGCTTCCTTTCTGTGTGATGAAATACTCTGTGACGACACAGCAGTTAGGGACACGGGGTCGAATGGCAGTGGCACCCACAGTGTCACTAGGACAAGTACACGGATGCGCAAGGAAGCCCCCAGATGTGGGCACAGCCTGCTGAGAAGTGGGATGAGTGGCTTCCTCCCACGCTGGGGGACGGCTTGCTCATGGGAGATCGAGTGTGAGCGCAGAAGTACGACGTAGGCATGTGCGTGCTTGTGCTGCGTAGAGTGCAGTCTGTCTGAGCGGGATCAGAACTGGTCCGCGTTCTCTGCTCCCCGTGGAATGGTTCTCAAGGGCACACAGATGCACTCGGGTTTCCAGCCCTGGGGGCTCCATCTGGTCTCCCTCTCTTCAGACCCACTGCGGTGTCCCTTTCTACATGAAGGGGATCCTCGTGTCGGGAGGAGCTCGGCACCCGGTGTCCTCTGGCCTCTGCGGTCTGAATGAGTGTGCAGTTTCCATCTATCCATCCATCTTCATTAAAGCCAGCCTTCTCTCCAACCTTCTCCAGAGGGTTGGAGAGAAGCTGCATCAGGCTGCCTTTTTATTTTCCTCACCATCCGCCCCCCCCCATGTGCCACATCCACTTCAGTTTGACTCCACATTTGCTCTCCCCTCCATTACTGCTACATCTAGTGACCTGCAAGTTTCTGCCAAGAGCAAGTCAATAAAGGAACACAGCTCTGCAGCCTTGAAAATGCTCAGTCCCCTTCCCATCAAACAGCAGTGCCCCATCAGACCTTGCAGATGCAAGATGCAGACATGAATTAGTCCAGTGTCTCATGGATAAAGGGGGGGAAAAAAGATCCCAAAATGGGAAAAGTTTTGTTCATTTCTTTCAACATTCAAGGATTCCCTTTATGCCAAAGATACTCTGGTGAAATCCGAGGAGACTATATCCCCCAGTTGTTCCAGATGGGAGTCTGATTATCTTTAATGACAGGAAGACTTTAGAGGGATAGTCTTTTTCTCACCTGTTCAGAGGTTGGGTTTAAGGAGGAAACCATTCTTTCCAGCTGGTAAAGAGTTAGGTGGTCAGGTTTTCTGTGAAAGCCTGCATCCCAGCCAACAGATGGTGATGTAGGTGCTCGAGTGGAAGGGTGGTGGTATAAAGAATCCAGCGACTCTTAGTCCCAGATGTGCCCTGATGCGGCCACCGTGGGGAGGCCCAGGGCAGAAGGAGAGGAAGACACGCTCCACAGACATTTAATCTGTGGAGTAGCGGACACCTGTTACTTAGTTACCTTAGTTTAAAAAGTAGCAAGATATTTTTCTTTTTTAAAAGCATGAGTCCATTTAAAGCCATAAAAAAGGCGCTTTTTTTTCTTTTTTAATCTAAGAAGAGAACAGATGCTAACAGATGAGATTTCACTGGCTGATTCATTTGTTTCAGATGCTTGAACGGATGCTTTAGAATTTTCTGCCTGAGCTACAGCACCAAGCTCGTTAGTCGGAAGGCGTTTGTGGCTAAGGCCTTGAAAGGGAAAAGTCTCAAGTGGGCTTATTTCTACTGAAACAGCATTTCGGGAGAAATGCAGGAAAAAGCAAACCCAAGGCCCCAGGGAGACCCCTTCCAAGCAAAGCACTCCTCCAGAAGGCGGAAGCAGGGTGTGGCTCATCTGCAGAGCCATGGCCTCCTGTCGCGGACGCTGCTCCCGGTGGTTCTTTTTCATGGAAGGGAACGTGCAAAAGGCTTAACAGTTCTCCCTTCCAAGCAGAGACTCAGAGAAAGGGAAAGAGAGAGAGAGAGAGCAAAGGAAGGGGGCAGCCGCCCCACAGAGAAATGAAATGAACACAACTTCCTGACGCTGGCCAGTAAAAAAAATACCATAATAAAAAGATGAAGCAGACCTGCCTAAGGTGGGCAGCTGACTTCGTTCCAAAGTCCTGCATCCCTAGTTTGCCCGAACTCCCAAAGACTGGCAGGCCCCTCGGCACTGAGCTGACAGAGTTTCTTTTATATGCCAGTCTGCCGTGACCTCCTGACCCTCCGGCCCCCACTCTCTGCAGTGACCCAGTTGAGAATGCAGTGGGAAGTGGGCAGGCCAGGAAGCTCAGACACACCATTTAAACTAACACATACACCTGCATGCCAAAACCAGTCCAGGTAACACCTCAGGTTCCATTTTAACGTGTCCACGGGAAATACCACCACACCCAAACCTCATCCAACATTGTCCGTCTTTAATTCGTGCTCAAAGCCAGTCTGGGGATGCCTCTTTGGAAGCAGTGTGGTCTCGTTTCAAGGACACTGGGAGTCAGGGAACCTGGGTTCTAGTCCCAGCTCCAGCATTCACTTGCTGCGTGACCTTGGGCAAGACACTTAACCTCTCTGTGCCTCAGTTTCCCCCATCTGTAAAATGGGGGCAATAATGTCGACCTACCTCACAGGGCTGTTGTGAGGAATAGCTAAGTGATTGTAAAGCACTTTGAACGTATAATTGCTTATTATTAAGACTACAACAATAATAATAT